TAGGTTTGCTCAGGGGCCGATAGCCGACGCCGCATACGGAGCTCCTTGTTAGGTGATTTCATATGAGATAGAGATCGACTTTTGAGAGATTGGCGCTGATATTTCACTTTCCAAATCAAGCCAGCAGTTTCATCTGAGTGTCTCCCAGCAGGTATAAATACAACGGAAGTTGCCGATATTTATTATGTGCCATGGGTGATGCTCTCAATATGCGCTTTGCCAATCCTTCCGTTAGAGTTGCCCACTGATGTGGTCATAAAACGGCTTCCGAAGCTTATTTTTTGATGTAAGCCTCATCTTCTTTGATGGGTGTCCAGGTGCCAATAATGACAAGGTCTCACGACGGAGTGTGCTTATGAACCATAGATGTGCTCTAATTTAGACCCATCATGATCACTAGATCTCTGCAGCTTGGTGGTTAAAGCTGTCACGTCGTCATCACTCTGAAAGTCCTCATTCACCCCTCGGTACTCTTCTTTGGCAGTTCCAGTTCCTTAGACCTTTTGCGGTGGTCACGAACCATCATAATCGAATATCGCCACATTCCAAATGAACCTGCCAACACTCAACACAACCCCTCCCTACAATCTTCTCTTTATACTTTTATTGTATGTACAAGATTCCAGCTTGTCTGGCCCGGTCATTAACTTGTCATTATCCCTCAAGCAGCCATGGGCTCCTCGCCATAGTTGGGCGCTATGTTGGGCTGCGCAAAAGCCCTTTGCAACATCATACCAGCACCTTCGATGATACCCAAGAAACAGGCACAAGTGATGGCAGAGTTCCTCGTGGCCTTCCAGCCTCCTCTGATGGCCAAAGCACCACCGGTGAAGAAACCAGCAATGATGGCGTTCCATGCATCTTCCTTCTTTCTGGCACCTTTGACGGCACAGTCGAATGTGGAGAAAAGGCCTCCCCATACACCGAAGTTACCTCCGACAACGGGTGCTCTGGTCCTACTGGCGGCAAAGGCTCCGTATGCTCTTTCTCCGTATGGAGAGTTACGGAAACCCTTGATACCGTGCCAGATCAAACCACCGAAGGCACCCATAGCAAAGGCACCTCCAAAATCACTAACGATCACGATCGGGCAAGGATCTCTCGTATGGTCAGACATGATCTTCTATGGTCTTCTTGTTCGGTTATATATTTTTCAGACGTTTTTTTCGGTCTCAGCTTTTTGCTTGTTCATGCAGGGGACCTCTGACTCGGCCATCCTCGATGGCCATAAAACCAAAAGATAACACCCAATCGTATAAAATTTTTAACATTTTGTAAAACTCTCCACGATTATAGACATTGTGATGTTCGTAAACAAGCTTGTTTGTCTTTCGCAGTTAGTGGGGTTGCTCGCATAATGCAAAGGTTGCCCTTACCAACAGAAGATTGACCCACCTGAGATTAAACGATGGTATGCAATCTGACAAATCATTTCCCGGGGGGATATCTCTTCAAATTGAGAGTTTAGTCAAATCAATTTTTTGCTTCCTTCTCGCTTCCTGAGGCACACAACCAACGGTTCGTTGATATCAAGGTACTTTCAACGAAGAAAGGAACGACCAAATAAGTGGAATTACATTTTGTGGTAAAAAGTTTAAGTCTCTGTTCAAATTTAGAAATTCTCATGCTGCCGAGTTTTTATGTGTTTGAAAGCATACGTAAATATGTGCGCTTTTGAATTTTGCATCCAAAAACCGGAATACATTGTGGATTTGCGTGCGCATCTAATGTATACTCTATATATATGTATATGATTTATTCCTCGGTTCTGGAGACATCGAAGAGTAATTCCTCTTGGTCCTCAGGACCATCTATCTTGGAGCTTTTGCTCGGATCGTCTGCCTTCCTCACCTTTTCTTGTTGTACACTCAAACCCTCGTTACTTGAGGATTCTTTGTTTGAGGCCTGCTCATTTTTAATCCAAGAGTCTTCTTCCTCATCACCAACAACAAAGTTGCCCAAGTTCTCTTCCGTTTTTCCAAGCGTCTGGAGCTCGAAATGGTTCTCATCTATAAGTGGCCCCGTGAAGACCTTCTTACCCCAGGTTTTATATCCCACTGCCGCCAATGAGGCCAAGCAGAGCAAGACAGCGAAAGCGTAATTCATATTGGACCACGTCAAACCCTTGATGACTGGTGGCATGCAAAGTATGAAAAATGAGATGAATACCCAGAACACAGATATGCCGTTAACAACCCAACCAAAAGACCGAAGTCTGAATGCAGCACCCTTGATCTTTTGTCTTTTGTTAAGCATCAAGCAAAGAATTGGAATGCCATTGGCCAAAGCTAAAGAGACGACAGATGCGCCCATGAAGGCATTGAATGCTGAGGGAGATACTAACGCCAAAAGCGAAAATGTACCACAGACACCCATAGATAAAAAGAGTGCATTTTTAGGCACGATGGCATCCTCGACAGAATCAACGCTTGTCCAAATGTCTTTAAAAGGAAGGCCTCCATCTCTCGCAAATGCATACGTTGATCTTGATGCAGTTGTCACGGAGCCAATAGCTTGGAACATGACAGTACCAACTAAAAGAAGGATCAACAAAAACGAGACAAGGTAGGATTGGGTAGCTGATTTGAAAATCAAGTCAATGGGCATAATTTCCGGTGTTTCGTCAAGAATGACTGTGAGTGCTGGCAAAATGAGAAGAATAGGAACAATAAAGATCAAGCCCTGAAACACAGCCATGCAAATAGCACTCACAGCACCTCTAGGCATATTTCTTTCGGGATTTCTCACCTCATCGGTCATAGAGAAAAGCATACCGTAGCCTGTGAGTGTGAATGAAGAGCTTTGAAGGCCCACCATGAAAGCGACAGGGTCGGGCCACCCGGATCTGGAATTGTCAAAGTTTGTGAAAGTGTGGGTCGCTGAGTTGGTCTTTTTGGAAAAAATGAGGAGTATGATGTCAATCATGAGAACAGTGCCGATGGACCATATGATGCACATTTTGTTAATGTAGTCCAAGTACCCTGAGAACTTGAAATTGACAAAACCCACAAATGTGAGGAGGATAAAGTAAACGGCAAGCACAAGAAGAGTATCCTCCTTATAATAAACGTCCTTGAGTCCAAAAATCGAAAGAATAAATTGGGATCCCGAAAACATGATGCTCACGGCATATGTCCAGTTGCCGATGATGAGGAACCAGCCTGTGAACCAGGAACTCACCGATGAGTACTTATCGTTACTCAAGATAGCACTGAAATGATAAACACCACCGGAGGTGGGGTACTTTGATATAATTTCACTAAGACTCAACACCACACAGATGCTGAAGAAACCCACGACAAGCCAGCCATAGAGCATAGTGACATTACCACCATCGACCAACGATATCCACAAAGTGGAAGACAAACCAAATGGAACACCAACCAACGAAAAACCAAGTCCGACAATGGAAATCACAGTGAGCTTACGCTCAAGCTGCTGCTTATACATGAAGTGTTCCACATGCTCTTCTTCATTATCATCTTGTAGGAGATGACTTACCAAGTGAGCAGGGGCCGAGTCACGTATGAGTTGAAAGCCGCTTTCGTAGTACGAAGGCGGCAGCGAACTGTTCACGTCGGTGGACATGAGAAAAAGAGGCGTCCCAACTTGAGCTTTTCAGTCTATTAAGTAGCTTGCGGAGGAAATGCGATAATTCGGTTAAGCGCAGTAACCCATAAACGTAAGTTAGTGTACGTGGGGCTAAATATATGCACGTCGAACCTCTAAAGCCTACAGATGCCTAGCAGTGGGAAGTCTATTAGGATTGAAAGCCGGTTTGCAAATTTCTTAGCTTCTAACGCAGGTGTTTGTCAAGACGCAGGCTAGACAGTTTGTTTCTATTTTTTTTTTTTTTTTTCTCGCAGGCGAACTCGGACAGTGGCATTTACGCAGGGTTCATTGGACCATAGCCGATGCTGGGGGAAAGAGCTCACAACGCGGAAAATGCTCAACACGTTTGAATTGATTTTATTCAAAATCAAATTCACTGCCCGAATCGTCCTCCTCGGCTTCGTCGGCTTTCTTCTTCAAAACCGGCATGGCTATGCTGTCACTAGTCCGTAAAAGAACACTGTGCAAGTTGCTGACCCTGCCGAGAAGGCCGCCCACAGGCTTATACTTTTCGTCGACAAGGTACAGAATGACGTCGTTGATGTTTCGGAGAATTTCCAGGGTTTTCCAGTCCGTGAAGCCGACAACTATATGGATGCAAAATCCCCCTGCTGGAGGAATATAGTAGGTGTTTCCTGTGATGGCCTTAACCTGACTTCTCACGTACTTGGGGTCAACTCGCTGCTCTCTCTTTCCGTGCGTTCTGAGGCCAGGTTCTGGCTTTGCCATCTGGACAACGAAGGGAACTTTCTTGTTTCTGGCGTAGAATTGGGGTCCTAGAACATCTGGCAACTTCTTGTGAATACGAGCATCTGCTAGGATCAAATCGTTCTCTTTGAAAAGCCTGATGAGAGCTTTCTTGCTATGTCCAAACAGTTTAGCTTTGGTGAAGGAGATGATCTGACGGAAGAGGTCCTCAGTAGGCAGATCTTTCTTTTGTAGCTCATCCTTGTAGAAGTTGACAGGATCGTTCGTTATAAGACACATCCGTCTCTCATCTATATCATGCAATTTGTGAGTCAAGGGAATGATTCTGGGTGTTTGGTCATTTTCCTTCACGAGATGGATCTTAGTGTTGAGCACTAGATACAAGGCTTCGTGATGGTGCTCATCGGCGGATTTTGCATGAGCTGCCAAACCCTTTATAGACCTCTTGGCCTCTTCCCTGGCCTCATCGCCAAGAAGGAACATTCTATGTTGGGAATTTTCTCGAAATCTGGGGTGCTGTCTCGGAGAATTTGCACCTAATCTCATCACAGCGTCTGGCCTGTAGATAGCCTGTATCAGCCCCACAGTCTTTAAGACAGATCCATACCACAACTTCTTTTCAACAGAGGAGCACTGCCTCACCAATACTTCCAAAAAGTGCCCAAGCTGCTTTAAACGTCATGTACATCAATTTTCCTGGCTTTTTATCGCTGTATCTTAGCACCGGGCTAGGATCACTCTTTCAAACCCAGAACGTGTTAACTCCCTCCATTTCCAACAACGAGGGCGTTTCCCCTATTGATCAAACCTGGGGGCCTCCATCGGATTTTGTTAAACCAGAGGCAATCGTTCTTTGGCATGGCTTGGGCGATAACTACAACTCTCTGGGTATGCGCCATGTGAAGGAAACTATTAACCAACTCATGCCTGAGGTTTATGTTCACAACGTGGCGGTGGATCTTGATCCTTCTATTGATGAGAGACGCTCCATGATGGGTGACGCAAATGTGGAGTTAGACTTGGTCTGTGAGGAATTGAGCAAAGTTCCCGAATTGCAACACGGTTTCGCAGCCATGGGGTTCTCTCAAGGAGGCCTATTCTTAAGAGCTTTGGTAGAAAGATGCTCAAATGTGTCAGTTCTGACGCTTGTCACATTTGGCTCACCACATATGGGTGTCCTGGAGCTTCCTATGTGTGCCGATAAGAATGACTGGCTTTGTAAGAAGAGGAACGAGATTTTGAAGAAGCAGGTGTGGTATGACACAATTCAAAAGTCAATCATTCCAGCTCAATACTTCAGGGCTACCTCGGACTACGACCGCTATTTGAAGCACCTGAATTTCCTCGCTGATATCAACAATGAGCGCAGCGATTCTTTTAGTGTGGCGGCCAAAGAGAGATTTTCTAAATTGAGGAAATTGGTGTTGATCAAATTCACCGAGGATACCACACTTGTACCCAAGGAGAGTGCTTTCTTTCAAGAGGTAGACCCCTTGGGAGGCTATATCGTGGATATGCGCCAAACAAGACTTTACAAGGAAGATCTCATAGGCTTGAGACAACTACACAAAGAGGATAAGATTGACTTTCTTACCGTGGAAGATAATCACATGAGGTTTCTGGACGCATTTTTGGTTGATATAATCAGCAAATACTTCATGAATGGATTATAGAGCAGGTCTCTATATTGGTGTACGGGTGCATATATGTAACATTTGATCTCACTTAACGTATTTTCATTTAATAATGTCAGATCGAGTGGCAAGATTGGCCGAACTCAGAAGACAGCGAAATGGCCAGCCAAATCAGGACGTGAATTCAAGTTCTGTGAACGCTCTGGCACCAGAAACAGGGCACCAAAGCATTGGTAGTGCTACTGAAACGCTATCAGCTCTTCCTAATGAGACGCAAGAGCCCAAACATGAGGCATCCGATGATGCTATGGAAGAGGACAATGGCTATAATAGTGATTTGAAGCGTGACATTGCTCCATTACTTGCGAAGGCCGAAAGAAAGACTGATGCTGCTTTGAATAGATTGATTTTAAAGAGGTATCAAGATTCACAGCAGCAGGCTGCACAGGCACAAGAGATCCCCAAGACATAATTGGGATGCAAGCATGTTGAAGATGAATTTGATACAAGATCAATATAATGGCATCATTTTGAGGCTACATATTAGCAGAGGAATGCTTAAAGAATGCTTCTTGTGCATTTCAATATGATACACCATTCCGGTAATCTGAAGTTACAACCTGACAGCAGTTGATTCGTCTGAAGTTCACATAGATACAATTCTGATGGCCCAAGGTGTCCCATGGGTTAACTCACCACATTGGTTGCAAAATACGTAAACCACTGATGGAACCGTGAATTATCAATATGAGATCCGAATAACTCGATCCGACAACAACAAACAAAAGGCAAACATAAAATTTCTTCTTTTTTTTACCAAAAATTCAAGGTTAATTAACTAGATTACCAGCGTAGACTGTAGCGACGAAGCGTTTAGGGCGCGCAGCCTTCCTGTTTGGGCAGTCGAGGGCCTCCAATGAGATCGCAGAATTCGCACACCGAAGATTGTGCGAAGTTGGAACCGGTTGTGGTCGAAAAAAAACTATTCAGAAGAGAACTACAAGGTACCTCCTTTCCCGATAATGGCTATGATCAACAGAATTGTCACCAGAGCTGCCCGTCCAGCCTTCATGGCTGCCCGCAACCCGTATGTTTTCAATCTGAAAATAATTTTCGCCGATTCCGGTCCACTGAACAAGTCATAATCCACCATCCAACGAATCGAAAGAGAAGCCAGAAGAAGAAAGAAAATCCAATCCGAATACCATAGTCTGATCAATTGATAAATACAGTGTCCCTTTTTTTATTCCCGCCCTCCTTATTTCGTTCCCAATTGACCAATTACTATACATATATTGGATTGCCCAGAAACACATGTCTTATATTCACGCTTCAAGATCCGGAACACGCCGTTGAAACTTATACTAACAAACAGAATTGGTATCCGTTGTTTGTCTACTCCAGTGGAGCCAAAGGAGAAGGCCAACTCCATCGTTGACGCCTTGCCAGGTAACAACCTCATTTCCAAGACTGGTATCTTGGCCACCTCTGCCGCCGCCGCTGTGTACGGTATCTCCAACGAGTTGGTTGTTTTGCATGATGAGACTATCTTGGTGGTCACTTTCTCCACCTTCGTCGCTCTTTGCGCCAAGTTCGTTGCCCCATTGTACACCGAGTGGGCCGACGGTGAGATCAAGAAGGTCAACGACCTCTTGAACGAGTCTAAGAACAAGCATGTTTCCGCTGTTAAGGGCAGAATTGATTCCGTTTCCCAGTTGAAGGAGGTTGTCAACACCACCAAGCTGTTGTTCAACATTTCTAGAGAGACTGCCAAGTTGGAGGCCGAGACCTTCGAGTTGAAGCAGAAGCTTGCTGTTGCCCACGAGGCCAAGGCCACCTTGGACTCCTGGGTCAGATTCGAGCAGCAGCAGAGACAGTTGGAGCAGGAGCAATTGCTCAAGTCTGTCTTGGACAAGGTGAACAAGGAGGTCGAGAACCCTAAGTTCCAGGACAAGGTTTTGGCCGAGGCTGTTGCCGAGGTCGAGAAGGTTTTCGCCAAGGCCTAAATTAGTTTACGTAGAACGAATCAAAACGACTAAAGATATATTCTTTTAGCTATGTAGAACGTTGTGGGCCGGTTTCCATATGTGTAGAGAGTTATCATCAGCAACACTGGCGACCATCCAATCCTCGTGTAGTGACCAGTCAAAGTCATTTACACCGAGCATATGCCCTTCGTGGCTGAAGAGGAGGCCATCTTTTTGTTCGGAGCGTCCTAGATCATGAAGCTTGACCAGCTTGTCAGTTGAAGAGCTTCCCAATATGGATGCGAACTTTGGATGCCACCTTACTTGGGTGATAGAATCTGTATGAGGATGAAAGTTGAATATGCTGCCTTGGCTCATGGAACGGAGGTCGAAGATGTTAGCAGACCCCTCACTGTGACCAGAAGCCACACTTCTGCCATTGTGATTAATTGAGAGCGAATTGCAGGCAGTGCCAGTGTTATGCTCAGCAACGGGGCCCGAACTGCCACTTCTAGTGTCAAAGAGTTTAAGGCTGCCTGAATCATCTGCCGAAAGAAATACGGTATTGTGTGTTGGTACCCATTCGATATCGTTGATACCAACGCCGGTGTCATAATACTTGATGACATCAATAGATGTGTCATCTTTGCTATTATAGCCCGACAGGATATCGTAGATGTTGATGATGCCGTCCATGCTGCCTGAGGTTATCACACCTTCTGCCTGCTTGTTCCAGTCAAAGGCGAAAATATCTTCATTAGATGGCTTGGCTTTGTTAACCAAACGTAGTTGAGGTTCATTAATTTCGTTTTCGTTTCCAAGTGTCTTGATATTGGAGTGTTTGGTACGATTGTAAACTGACAAGTTGCCCATGTTGTTCGAACTTGCAATAACGTCTGGGTTTTGGGGCATGTACCTAAGCTTGTTGACATCTCCCCAGTGGTTGATTGACTGGATATTTCTTAATTTATTTTTGGAGACTGCTGGAAGCTCGAACTCGTGTTTTTCAGCATTATAATCTAGCTGGTCCACATTGAGATTTTCATGAAAGTCTCTGTAGTACGGTAGCTGCCAGATTGACACTGTATCTACTCCTTGACCTAAAGTGAATGTACCAAGAAGAAGCCTTTGATAAACGAGCGATTGGGGAACCTTAGCATTGTTACTTTCGGTTGTTTCCAAGTCCGGGAAGAATTGAACGGTCAACGAAGGCCATAATAATGAATTGGTGGAGACGTAGTCATATAAGAAGGGACTGTTCTTTTTCCAGACTCTGTAACGTTGCTGTGTGGCTTTGTCGATGGCCCCTTGCTCCTCGACATCAGACATATCAGCATCTTCGGCGTGCATTGTGGGTGTTGTTTCCAAAGTTGTCCTTGAGTCGCGTTACGCGGTTCAGTCTAAAAGACGCATCGCACTGTGGAGTAGGACCTTTTCAATCTCGAGGAGACAGATTGAAAAATGCTTATGCAGAAAATATAAGGAATTGTAATGAAGAAATGATTCGAAAAGCTACAATATATTCCTTCGACTGTACGTAGATCGATTGAAAGCTCAACGTATCAATTCGGAAAGAAGTGGGTGAATGCGATAGTCTGTGGGCTGCTTGATGTACTAAGGAGACACAGTAACGGTCCAATAAGCAGATCTTGTGTCGAGCTTATGCGAATGTTCTTCATCATTATTATTGACCCAGTCTATGTATGTTTCTTGCTTGCCTTGGGTCATCTATTACTTAATCGGTCTCCTTGATCGCCTGAATGCTGGCAAGTGAATCGGAGCGCCTGGACTCTGTGCTAAAGCTGTTCACCACCAGGGTGAAGTCTTGGTTGAATCTAGAAGCTTTGTCGTTCAAAAACGTCGTGAGTTCATCCATGGCTTTTTGTAAGTGCTCATCCGTCACAACATCCTTTTGCTCCTCGTCCAACACCGGCCTTTTTCTTTCTTTTCCACTCAAATCACTGAGCACCTGATTGAGTTTAATAAGCTCATAGTAGTTGTCGTAGATGATGGACTTCTTCTCGGAGTCGTGGAAGTTAAGCTTCCCACTGGCTTTGTTGCGAACTTTGAGGAGCTGTGAAGCAGATGCTGTCTTGATGAATTCTTCAATATTAGACGGATCATCGAGATCCTCGGTCAGTGTGGCTTCTTCTGTTGTCTTTTCCTCTTCCTCTTTAGGCTCAGAAGGAGTGGCAGGTGCTTCGTTACTTCCCTCAGCTTTCTCCTGATGAAGCTTGTAGAAATCTTGTAATGCTTTTCTTCTGGATGATACCTTTCTAGAGCCCCCGAGAGTAGGCGTGCTAGGGGCTGATGGTGATTCTGGTGCAGAACTGGAGATTGATTGGGTGCTAATACGTGGCAGCCTTGACCCTAGATTAGGATCCTGGGCAGCATTTTTGCCATCTTGTCGCTGAGTACGCTTTTTATAGGAGAGCACAGGGGTAGATGCTCCCAGGGACATTGAATTGATATGAAGTGTTGTAACGATCCTGCTGGGTATCGGCTCAAGAAGTTGTTGATTTCGCACGTGACGAAATTTCGGACTACTCTTCTTTCAAAGGCAGCTTACATGGGAAGTATGGAAGAGGAAATCAGACTTAACGATTCAAAACTTGGGACCAAGCAATAGTATGTATCACATTGTTATTTAGTGTTCTCACTAACGTTAGCTGGAATGAGTTCTACCAGAAGGAGATTGAAAACTTCGATGAGAACGACCAGGACACTGGCGAAAACTGGTTCGATGACTCTGATGCTGAAAGAAGAGTCATTGATTTCTTCATAAATATGGTGGACGAGGGCCAGTTTGGTTCCGACGAGTTGAACATCCTAGACTTGGGTACTGGAAATGGTCATTTCCTATTCGAACTCAATGAAGAGATCGAGGAACAAGATATCGCTGTGAAGCTTCTCAACAATGGTATAGATTATTCGCCCGAGTCTGTGGAGTTTGCCAAAAAGGTAGCCCTGAAGAGGTTTTCGAATCAGTCTTATACTTTTGAGGAAGTTGACTTCATTAGAAAAGAGTGCCAGTATTTGGACGACAATAAGGAAAAGTTTGACGTGATTTTTGACAAGGGTACTTTAGATGCCATTGCTCTTAACAATGACCCTGTTGATGGCTTTGATGGCAAGATTGGCGTCGATGTTTACCCCTTGCAAGTTGCCAAATTGGTGAAATCTGGATCGCTTCTAATAATCACATCGTGTAACTTCACAGAGCAGGAGTTGACAAAAATCATTACTCAAGCAGGTGACTTCAAGGTCTTTAAGAACGTTGAGTACCCCTCGTTTCAGTTTGGTGGCCAGAAGGGCTCAACCATCTGTACCATAGCATTTGAAAAACTTTAAAAATAGCATGTATTATACAAGATCGCAAAAGACTCTATTTATCCTCTTTGGTGATCTTTGCTTGAAGCTCCTTCACCTTATTCACCAAGCCGTCTCTAAGTGTCTCGTTAGAGAATTTCACAAGATATTGCACAAGCTTGCCGCTCACAACAGAGTTGAATCTAAGGAACTTACCTGGGGATAAACTTGCTTCTAGTCCCTTGATAAGCTCCGTCTCTGGGGTGATCTTGTAGTTCAACACGACACGCAAAAGTCCTTGAGATCTCATCACAATACGGACCTCCTTGGAGTCCAGCTTGGATTGATTCAAATGTAGAGGGCCAACACCGCGCTCTTTCCAGCCTTCCTTAATGTTCGATAGGTCTAGCTCAAACACCTTAACTGTAGCAGAGAAAACTGACTCCTCGTTTTCCTCACCTGTCGTAACTGTCTTCTCCTCGAGGTCTACTTGCTTGTACTGCTGTGATGTCTTTGGTTTGGACTCGTCCACTGAATCTTCCTTCTCTGCTGTGGGCTCTGGGCTATCGAGGAAAGATGGCTTCAGCAATGTTTGTTGGAAAGCATTGCCGAACTTGGATTTGGAGCCAAACAGCAGGACATTAGAGCCAAACAGCGAGGTAGTAGATTCATTGGCAGAAGCAAAGATGTCTGGTTTGTCCTTTGACTTCTTAAAAGCATTACCGAAGGAACTCTTTGAGCCAAACACAGGCGTAGTATCTTTGGGAGTAACGGAGTTCTTCTCAGGCTCCTCAGACGACTTTTTTGAGGATTTCTCAGACCCATCCTCCTTCTTTTCTGCGTTTCCTTCCTCCTTCACGGATTCTTTCTTCTCCTCGGGCTTCTTCTCGTTCTCAGGCTTTTCGGTCTTGCTACCGTTCTTTGATGCATTGCTGGTTTCCTTCGTTCCTTTCTCGGTAGAGTTCTTTTCATCAAGCTCTGTTTTGCTCTTTTTGGCTTCCGCCTCTGGCTCAGAGTCCAATTTTCTCTTAAGGGTTTCTTCAGCCATGGGTTTCGTTTACTTGGAGTAAATAGCTGAAAGTTGAGAGTAAGGCGCACCAAAATGCACACCACGATGATGGTATTCAGCAGGTGAATCTTCTAGAAGTGATTTTAAAACTTCGAAAGTAATTAAATGAGAGGCTCAAATTGGTTCAAATACGATTTAGGTTTCTACTTAGATTTGGTGTACTCACAGAGCCATCTAACTACGTCCTGCTCCTGAGCGCGTTTAACTTAACAAACAACACTTCCTCATCATGTCCACCCAACAGGTAAGTTATTCAACCTATTATAGATGACTCTCTTTACTAACACTATCAGGAAACAAAAGAGATCGAAGATCTCAAGAAATTGAGGTCCGTACTCGCCGCAATTAAGCAGACGGTTGACGATGTACGTAAAGACATCGAGACTGCAAGGGAGAACAAGGTCGCCACTAACGAGGAGCTTGTGAAGCTAGAAGACATAATAAGGAAAGTATGATTGACTACGTTTGCCTATGTGCAATGGGATCTTGGCAGCTGAGAGACATTGCTTTCCCTATGAATGTGGATATCGACGAGAAGCTAAAACAGCCAGAGCGAGAAGAACCGCTTTGTGTTTGCTTTCCGAATCTTTTACAAAAGGAAAGCATCTCGAAATCGAGACTTCAGCCGTGTTGTTTTGATTTCGTCATGGGGATTCTCTAAATCTACTGCACATTGCGGGGACATCACCAAAACAGGCTGCCTACTCCTTGGTACCGATTTGCCATTTCTTGTGTGACCTTAGCACGCTAGTTTGCCATGCTGGTCTATTATGACGATGCCAGAGTATGGGCTAACATAGATAATGCCTTGAAAGATCAACTTATTCTAAAGGTTATATCGTCTTTAGAATGTCTGATATGCTCAGAGGTGATGCATGTGCCGTTTCTTGCTTCTTGCGGCCACTCCTTCTGTTACAACTGTCTCAATGCATGGTTTGCCACGAAGGTGAACTGTCCGACCTGTCGATCAGAACTCGAACAGGCTCCAGTGCTCAACATACGACTCAAAGATATCAGCAAAAGCATCACAGACATCGTGATAGAGACGATGGAAGATGCACATCATAAAGAACAACTCGAAACTGCACGACAGTCGGTATTAGATGACTTTGAGGACGCCAAAAAGAAAAAATCGTTGTTTGACGAAGCCTTTAATAGTGCATTAACTCTCGTTGACAACTCTGATGGGGTTCCTAGATGTGGTAACTGCCATTGGGAAGCTCATGGATCTACATGTTTGCATTGTGGAGCTCGTTTCAGAGTTCCAAGAGAAGATCTGTACTTTGACTCAGAGGATGGCGATGCATATAACGAAGACAGGGAAGAAATCGAACTTTATGGAGATGAACGGGATGCATACGATTCAGAAGACAGCTTTGTTGATTCTCGTGGACTAAACGACATACAAAGAGAGAGATACGTGGAGCCTGGAGACGAATTATTATCATCAGGAGAAGATGAAGACCTTCGAAGCCAGAGCAGCGACCTGTGGGGAGGTTTTCGAGAGGACGGTGGTCGTTACGGACTAAATGCTGATGAGATGAATAGCGACGCAGAGGATATGGAGCTGGCAGTAAGGCGTCTACACGACCAGGACTTGGATGATTATCAATATTTGAGTGACAATCAGCTGTGGTCAATTCAGGATATATCATCAGGAAATGAAGCTGCTAGTGACTCGGAACCTGAGACACAAAGAAGCAGCCGGCGAAGCCGAACCATCGTCGTGGACTCTGATCTGGATTGAAGTCGAACCGCTACTAAGCAATGGCTGCGAAATATGCGCGGCGTATTCTGTCTAGTATGTGGAAGCCAGATTAGAGAAATGGTGTGGTCGTGCGCGCTACCAAACATTACCTATACTTCCATTGGTTCAAAAAGTGCGCTGATGTTTTCAGACAGACAAAGCTACAACCCATCTATTCAACCATGGACCCACAGAGAATTATTAGATTGCAAAAGATTTACCAGAACTCCAACCAGAAGTTGTGGTTGAGAGGCCCCCGCTCCAAGGCTTTGGTCTACCCATTCTACGCCTTGTTCACTGTCTCCACGGCTGTTCCATTGTACTACACTGGCAGAGCCCTTTTTGGTATCAAGGCCGAGTAAAGACAACAGAGCTACATAGAAAATGAATGCATCAACGTGACTGCCCAGTAGACCTGAGGCTTTTGACGAGATTGGATATGAACTTACTTGACTGCAACCTTGCGACAGTTAAAGGCGTCCTAGGTACTGAAATCTGTTGCGACATGAACACAGCAGCCATGTGCCTTAAGATTAGGTAAAAGGAAATCGGTTTTGACGATATCTAAAATATGGTGGTTCATTATCCCTCGTACGGGCCATATCTCTTCCCTTTCGTAACTCAATCTTATCTAACGACATGTGCTCTTCTCCTTGCTTAGAGACAATGGTAAAGCAGAAGGTCTCTGCTAAGTGACATTCGTTCGTATTCTCTTACGTATATCTTAGTTTTGTGAGATCGTATTTAGATACACTTTTGACATGAGCTATGATGAGCAGCACTGACTATGCTTGCACTGCGCTTGTCACTTGTCCAATTTAGCCTTTTAAAATGGCTGTAGAGTCTGCTCTGGATACCACAAGTATGGACAGTGGCAAAACTTTTGAAAATCCATATAATCATGAGGGATCACACAATTCATGATAGCATCGTATTCGTTCAATGTGAACGACCATGTGGTCAAGGTATGCCAGATAATGAAATAACAGCATTGTCATTTATGCAAGACTTCACAACATTGAACTCAAGCCAGTGATGATGAAGTTTTTTCATCAAGCGTATGACCTTTCGTTTCCTATCTCAAAGCCATCTACAATGTGACCCTGAATTGGGTGCAAAATTCATGCGCTCGTGGGTGCATATGTTGGCTGTAGTACGTTGGGTATCTACACAACGATCCTCTGTACTGCAACAAAGAATCGAAAAATCTAATAAACTATACGATCAAAGAATTCTATAACCTCCGAAACACAGCCTTTTATATGAATACCCTTGATAGTGGGGCCACCTGTCTTGGCCGTTGACCCCACCCAACTTCTTTGAATCTCCTTCATTGTGCAGTCTTATCAGAATAATCTCTCCACCACAAGGTCCCTCCTATTCTACCCAAGCTATACAATGGTTTCCCTGTTACTCGAGTTTCCCAGCGATGCTCTCAATAACATCCTTTACTTTCTACCGCAAGACCTGCTTCTCAACTTGGCCTTGACGAATTTCCACTTCTACGAGCCCTGCCTCAAGAGACTATACCAGAGATTGGTGATCCAGACTGACCCGGCTTTGAGATCAGCAAGCACCGTTCCTGCCCACTACAGAAGAGATGACTTTGTGGAGTCTTCAGCGACAGTGATAGCGGGGTTGAGTGATATTGAGAGACCAAGACAGGCACACTTGAAGATGGTAGAGGCGAGAGTGAGAACGCTTTTCACCTCTATCCAAGTGAATCCACAGCTAGCTCAATACATAGAGCTGATAGAGATAGAAGGCAGTTTTAGCAAAAATGTCGAAAAGGCCATTTCTGAATTACTTCAGTTACTTAGCACAGTTCCTAATGAAACCACCAAGATATACATATCAGATCTGGGCCTAAGGAAACGGCTCGGATGGATCGAAACGTCGAGACTATTCCCTTCCTTGACAACCATTTGTGTTGACAGTGTTCTGGAGATTGCAGACCTCAAAGATTTTCCAAATCTTAACGAGATCGTGGTGGCCGATGTTGAGAAGGATCCATCCATGAATGCAAGGCACGTTCAGGTTCTCACGAAGATCGAGCACCTCATAGTCAGTTCGGAAGCAGATGTTTCGAATAAATTTTTTGATGCTCTTTGGTTGCTCTACAAGCAACAGCCATTTGTGTTGAACAAACTCAAGACTTTTACAGCATATCATTGCCACGAGCACCAACACACTTACCCATATGTCGACTTCCTGAGTCTTGAAAACTTCCAGATTTCTTTAGGCTGTGATGATGTTGGAAATTGCGATCTGGATTGTTTGGAAACATGCTTATCCCAATTCCACTTCACTCAACTTAAACGTTTGGCGGTGATCCAGAACAGCCACCATATCCACAACAATCATCGCTATAGTGAGATTTGGGACTTGGCTGTCTTCAATTTTGTCAAACTGGTGGTAGAAAACTCAGATACCTTGATCTACCTCTCCATTCGGCACAATGTGCCTCCGGATGGAGTGATTGACGATGGCTTCGAAGGCAACTATCACAGAAAGGTCAAGCTTTATACAAACTTGCTACCAAATCTTCTTGCAACACTTCAGAAACACGTGGTAAACTTGATGCTTCCAAATTTGGTTGCATGTCTTTCTTGCTACGAACAACCGATGAACACTTTCATGTGGAACGGTTGCAAATGTGACCACTGCGACAAATATCTAGAGAAGCTCGACGACTACCTTCTTTATCACAGATACTACAGCTTTGGGAAGCAAGTTTACAAGGATGTGTTGACCGTCCAATTGATGAGAGCCATGAGTGAGGTTTTAGCAGACCGTGTGGTGTTCGACACAAACTATGGAGACTTGTTTCAACTACGCAGGCCATTGAGAAACATGAACTGGAACTTTCACGATAGTAAATTTTCCATTCCGTTCAGGTGTTTGCCGGTGAAAACATATGAGATGGCCGACTTTGAAGATGAGAAGGCAGAGTTGAAAGAATCCCACGAACGGTTCTTCGATGCGGAAGAGCACGAAAATGACTGCCAGTTCCTTCGAAAAGAATCGTTTGTTCCTGACTACTCGGTAGTGGTGTCACACTTCCTCAATGACTTGATCAGGAAAATGATCAACCTTAATCGAGGTGATGCTGAGGACGTTCTTATCGGTCAAGAGGGTGACGAGAACGATGGTTTCACAAACTTACGAATCAACAAAATGCTTATCAACGGCATCAACTTCAACTTCGACCACGAACTCAATGGAACAATTTTTTTCAAAAATGTCTACGATGAGCTTGACGACTTTGACGAGGATATCAAGTACGAGATCTAGATAGTGCGCGAAAGCTAGCACCCATGCTTACAGTTCCTCTCTTCGATGTATGTACCCCACAGCATAGACCAAAAATAAAACTAACGGAAGCTTATAACTAGACGTAAGAGAAAACTCCAACTCAATCTACCCTGGGAGGAAAAAACATTGGAGAATGAAAGCGCCGTATTCTTGTTTCGAAACATCTCCTTCAAGAGAGCCTTTTACGACAAGCTAGGGGAAAGAGATGGAAGCATTCTTGTGTTCGACTGTGGAGCAGGCTTCACAGATACGTTGAACCTTGAAGACTGTCGTGTGTTTCATGTGGCGACATTCGATAAGCTTCTCCTGCAATTGAGAGGAATCATGGCTGGCGAAATGGAAGAGATCAAAGATATGCACTTGAATACCTTGGTAATTGAAAACGTCTCAAGCTTCTTCTGGACCCTCCAGAGAGAGAAACTAACAGTTATGCGTTACTGCAAGTTGAGAGATACGTTGAACGAACTAAAGGAGTGTTACCAGTGCAATGTGATTGTCACCGGATGGGACATTGAATACGAACGAGGATACAAGCCGTTTAAAGCCATTGCGGACCCTTCTAAGCTACATCATCTCAGTCTACTACCGTCTGAATTTTTCCAAACGTTTGACCACATCGTGGCATTTGGCAGACATAACTACAAGTACCAGGACACCTGGCACGAATGCACATGAATGTATGATATTGAAACCTCTAAAGAGTCGTTGTACGTCGTGGATGCTTACATGACAGTCAAGTCACCGAACTTCTCCTTGTAGGATGGAACCTCCCACTTACCGTTCTTGACCATGTAGTTAACCTTCTCATCGACATCAGGTCTAGCCTTGGCAACGTCGTCAACGGTCAATTGGTCGAATGGTCTGGAGCCCTCAATGTCCTTCAAGGTGGCCTGCAATTGCTCAATCTCCTCCAAGACAGACTTCTCGGTCAACTTGGCGTTCTCAACAGCCTTCTGCTCAAAGATGTCAATGGTCTTCAAGGTCTTGGACACGTCGTAAGTGACGGGCTTGAAGCCGCTGACGGCCTTCTCAACCTCGTCAATAACGCTCTGGTTCTTCAACACCTTTCTGTAGTGGGCAAAGTCAACCTCGGTGGACTCGCCGGACAATTCGAGGTGCTCCTTCTTGGCCTCGTCGTTTCTCTTCTTGAATGCATTCAAACTGGCGGAAGTCTTGCCGGTCAATCCCAAAGAGGAGATGACCTGAGCCCAGTTCAATTTGGTGGCAGCACTCTTAGCAACAGACATTGTTTATCGAGGTTGTTCTGATTGAAGACGGTTGAGGTATGAGTTTTTTGGTCGGTGCAGTGTGCGCAAACCGTGCTAGTGCGGATGCTCGGGCTTCCAATTGGCCAATCAGGGTCACCCAGGGTTTACCTGCGAGAGGGATAATTGAAGGACAGTGGAGGTGGACTAATTTGGTAAATGGGAGAATTTTTAGATTCGGGGGTTTCCTGGGTGAATTGGAGAACTGTGGGCTGAAATATTGGCCGGTAAGTTCCGGCTTCTTGAAAATATCACGTGACCAACTTGAAGATGGAGCTACAGTGGACTTCACCGGCCCTGACGAGAGATTTCCAATATTCCTCGATATACAGTGGAATGTGACATCTTAAAGGGACAAATGTTCAAGGTGAGGGTCCAGAGAAGGATGTGTGGTGTAAGGAAGGCATCGAAGATCCCACCACCTAAACCTCACAATTACAAAACATAGGCCAATAGACCATTAGCTCTTAAACGTGATTCTTCTTTGAAAACTTTGAAAGAACTTTGTCTACTGCAGCTGCTAAACTCACTTCGTCGTAGATCGCTTCATGTATAAGTCGCGGTCCATAGGGGTCCCACTTCGCAGCCATTGTTACCGTAGTGCCGACAATTTAGATCCACGACCGTGGTAAAAATACCAGTTTCCATTTTTTACCGATTCAATTCTTCGGTTAGATCCATTCCGAGAATTCCGCCATCTCTATATCCACCAACTCGAGGGTTTCTTTGCCAGATCGGGACTTGTCCCAGAAGAGCTAGCGCGACTACCTAAATAACTGTGCGTAACGACCATTGAAGGGTAGATCATTAACGCTAAATCCAGATCACCTATAACTTCCTTTTTCCTCCACACAATCGCTAAACGTCCACCATGGCTCCTAATATGAAGGGCTTGACCCAGTTCATCGTGGACTTGAGGAATTCCAAAGATGCCGAAGAAGAGCACAAGAGAATCAACTTGGAAATCAGCAACGTACGCTCCAAGTTCTCCCAGAACCTCAATTCCTACCAAAAGAAGAAATACATATGCAAGCTCATGTACATATACCTCATGGGGTACACGGACGAGGTACAGTTCGGCCTAAAACAGGCCTTTTCCTTGATTGCATCAAACGACTACGGCGAGAAGCTGGTGGGTTATATCCTGGTTTCTGTCTTATACAGTCGATCTTCGGCCTCGCTTAAAAGCTACTTTGAAGACTTGCTCGAATGGATATGGCCGAACCTCATGAAAGATCTCAGGTCCAACTCGGAGGACGTCAACTGTTTGGCCTTGCTGTTCATAGCCTCAAATTTCAACGTCTCGCACCAGGATCTCCATGTTACAGAGCTGATTGTGACAGAAGCAGATGATCCGGCTTCACAGTGGCAGGAGCTCATGAGTCTAGTTTACCAACAGTGTGTTTCTCCTACGACAAAGTCCTTCACCAGGAAGAAGGCCGTTATTGCATTTTACGTCTTGCTCAAGCTATACCCACAGATGATCTTGGCAAACGACAATTGGATACCGCGTTTACTAGCTTTGGTTGACGACAAAGAGATCAGTGTTGTGCTCTCTGTTGTTCCCTTGGTCAAGCTTCTTGTTGATCTCAAACCTATTTATTCAAAGTCTCTTCTACCATCCATTGCAAATAGACTACACTCCATTTTGGTGGAAGAGCGATGCCCAGACGACTACTATTACTATGACATTCCCGCACCTTGGCTCGTGGTGAAATTGTTCGAGCTAGTCGAGCACTTTTTTGTTCTCGGAGAAGATCAAAGAAACCCAGTTGTGATATTGGGTAATATCGATGATCGAACACTTTCCAAGCTTAGACAAGCGGTTGCTAAGCTGATTCAGAATGCATCCAAACCTGTAAAGGGCCAACCAAGCAGAAATTCACAGTCATCCATACTATTCCAGGCAGTGTCGTTGGCAGTCTTCCTAGACGCTTCACCAGACGCCATCGAGGGAGCAATCTATGCATTGGTACAGCTCTTGACATCTCCAGAAACCAACAATAGATATCTTGTCCTTGATGCGTTGGTCAAACTTTCTGCAAGAGCCGATTCAACTGCTCATTTTAAAGATCATCTCGAGAAAATTTACAAGTCCTTATACGACAAGGATATTTCAGTGAGAAAAAAGAGTATTGATTTACTCTACACTGTTTGTGATGAATCCTCATACACTCAAATCATTGCAAAATTACTCGACTACTTTCCACTCACAGAGTCTTCCTTGAAATCAGACATCTCAATCAAAATTGCCGTATTGGCAGAAAGATTCGCTACAGACTCCATTTGGTACATCTCTACCATGCTTCGACTTCTCTCGATTGGCGGCAAGACTGCCAGAACAGATCATCGTGAGGGCCTGGGCTCTTCAGGAGAGGTTTGGGAAAGAATTGTACAAATTATTGTCAACAACCAGGATCTTCAGAAGAAAGCTTGCAAACTCATTGTAAATCTTCTTAGAAAAGGCGAAGGAATGAATGCGGATAGTCTAGTTCGAGTCGGTGCATTGATCCTAGGCGACTATGGCCACTTAGCTGCCGAAGGCGAGGATCGTGACAGCCACTTCAGCACATTTTCTCAGTTCAAGATGCTCTACGAGGCCTACTTCAGGGCACAAATCCCAACTCGGCCACTCCTTTTGTCGTCTTTCGTGAAATTCTTGGTTAATTTTCCAAACGAGGACTTTGTTCCTGAAATTCTTGATTTGTTTGAGGCAGAAACACTTTCGCTTGATTTGGAAATCCAAACGAGAGCTCATGAATACCTAAAGGTGGGAAGTCTAACTGTCAGTGGCAGTCAGAGTGATAGACAGTTTGCAAGAAGCATCGTGAAAGCTATACCCCCCTTCGATGTTAAGCAAAATAGTCTCATGAACCATCTCGGAAGCTTGCAAGCTCTCAAGAATGCTAAGTCTAGATCTACGGTGAATGTGCTGAAGATTCCGAAGCCAAAGGGCGAACGACAGGCCACAACAACTGGCTTTAATAGTGGCAGTGATTTGAGTGATGCCGACGAGGACTACAATGAGAGTGGTAACGATCCATTTGGTGACTCTTCGGGAGCGTCGGTGATGAAGTTATCACCAAACTGGTACAGCGGCTACCACAGAATGCTTCACTACGATGCTGGTATTTTCTATGAGGACCAGCTCGTCAAAATCACGTATCGTGTGGTGAAGGCCACAGCAAATGTGAATTACCAGTTCACGGTCATCAATAATGCTGCTAAGAACGCCAATACTGACATCACCGCCTTTACTGTTTTGGATTTGCAGAATCCGGGCAAACGAGAGGATCCAAACTATTATATCAGACTCGTGAAGGTTCCAGATTCAACGATTGCCACGAAAACTACAATGGAACTCGCCGCCACGATTCGAAATATTGTCGAGAACAATGAGAGCCCAGTACTTTCCTTGAGTTATAGGTGCGGAGGATCGTTCAACACCTTACACCTCAAGGTGCCCGTGGTCATCTTGAAGACACTTTCGGCAACCGACTTGTCCGCCGAAGAGTTCAAGCGGAGATGGTTTCAGATCGGGGAAGCTTTAGGTAGCAACGCAGGCGAAGCAAGAGGGGCAATTAAGGCAAACCACAAGTACATCCTGTCCAACGTTCTGCGTACGCTCCAAAGATTAGGGTTTGCCGTCGTTCATTGCACGCCCGACACATCATCGGGGGATATACTTGTAATGGCTGCCGGCATCCTACACACTTCGACTGCAAACTTTGGAGTTCTTGTTTCAATGAGAAGTTTAGATCCTGACGGAAGACAATTCGACCTCACTGTCAGATGCACAGGCGGCGGAGTTTCCGAAGTCGTTTACCAAAGCTTGGAAGAGGTTTTCGTCACCAAGTCTTAGACTTTTACATGTTCTAGGCGAGAAGTTGCAGCCATCGATCGCCGTCTAGACCCTGTCGAGCGGGGCAGAAAAGCCAGCACTGCCCGTGTGAAAAGACGTTTCTATGTTGACATGCTGCCCTGAGTTTCCAATGCATTTCCTGTTATGGGTAGTAAACCGAATAAGTGCAGTTCACAGATCGCTATAGGCTCGAGTGCACAATGATTTTGCCTGATCGGGGTAAATGAGTTCAATGCGATTTTCCCCAATAGGCAACGCCATTAATGCACCCCTGCACACAGAAGCAGTCTTTTTGCAACCAGTGCCAAATTCTGATCTTGCCTAGTGTGGGAAGTTTGTTGGTGCTGTGTTTTGTTATAAAATGTATCCAAGCGCTGCTGTTTGATTTTGGTCAATCTCACCAGAAGCAACACACTTTCATTCATACCCGCTATGATCGCAGCACAAGTGCTCGTGTTTTTTCTTTCCTTACTTCATGTCAGTTTGGCAGCTCCGGTAACCTTGTATCAGACTACCACTGCTGTTACATACGAGGATGGCTCTCAGTATTCTTACAACCCAACTGCTGACGCTACGCTGGCCGTGGCTGCATCTGCTGCTGCTACTGGTGAGGTCTCCGCTGATTCCTCCTCCTCATCTGGATCTACTGGCTCATCCATCTGGTCCACTTTGCTGAACTGGTTGAGCAACTACTCAAGCTCATCTGGCACCTCCAGATCTGGTTCCACTTCCGGCTCAAGTTCTGGCCTGGGCTTCAGCTTCTCCTCATGGCTTAAGGGTCTTTTCGGAAACAGTGACAACTCTGACTCCGGAAACAACTCATACACTAGCTCTGCTAGCTCTGCTAACACCCAGCAGCCATCTACTTCCGCTCCATCCTCCACTTCCACTGGTGGCGGCTGGTTTGACACCAAGACCTCCTCCACTTCTCAGCAGAGTAGCACGACTTCATCGGACTCGACTAGCACTGGTGGTATCTACGATGCCATTTACAACTCTTCTGAGGACATTGACAAGAGTTTTGCCAAGGATATTTTGGATGCTCACAATAAGTACAGAGCCCAACACGGTGTTGACGAGTTGTCATGGGATGAGGGTCCATACAAGTACGCTAAGGAGAACGCTGATGCTTACGACTGCTCTGGTGTTCTCACCCACACTCATGGTCAATACGGTGAAAACTTGGCTGCTGGATTCAGCAACGGTCCTTCTGCTGTGAAGGCTTGGTACGACGAAGGTCAAACTTACGACTACTCCTCTCACAACGAGTACAACCACTTCACTCAGGTTGTGTGGAAGGGATCCAAGAAGGTTGGTTGCGCCTACAAAGACTGTCGTCTGAACAACTGGGGCTTGTACATTGTCTGTGAGTACGACCCTGTTGGAAACGTTATTGGCCAGGAGGCTCAGAACGTCTTGAAACCCGTGTCATCCTAGGCAAGCGATAACATGGATCAAAAATCTTCAGTTCGAAAATTGTCAATTGGTTCTCCTTTATACCTGTATTTTTTAAAAAAATCTATGTTCAATGATATCATACAAGTTCCGATGTATTTGTAGCGAATGGAAGTTTTGGGTAGTAGCCTGGGACATTTTTTGCGCCGGGGGTGTTCTCCAAAGACGCGGTTTTGATTAGGTGGTCCCCATTATTGTATTGTTTATTGTGCTTCTTCAGCTGCGTCTCCAATGTATTTTGCAATTTCTTGTCCTTGTAAACTCGTCTCACAGCGGCCGTAATATCCCTCTTTATTATGCTGAAGTCATCCTCCGTGCATGGTGAGGCATCAAATTGGAAAAACCATATCCCGCTTACCTTGAGTACGTCGAGTTTCTTGGAAGGCACTACGTCATGGAGGGCATCAAATAGACTTCGCTTTACCAATCTCCTAAACTTGACTCGATCGACTGCCTTGTCCTTTGGGTGTGGAGTGGTCTTGAAGAACATGTTTCGGGAATAAGGCCCTCGATATTTCTTGAAGGCTTCGTACAACTCTTCATCATTCAAAGGACTGCCGCCTCTGTTAGAGAAAGTGTACGCAATGTTGGACTTCCTGGCCCGCGATAGGTGGTGATAGTAAGGGAAGAACCTCAATCTGATGAACGCGTTGTTCACCAACAACGGTACTTGCTTGAATATGCGTGGTCTCTCTTTGTAGAAGTAAACCAGATGATCAACACCTTTGATATCCGTTGGCTTTTTCGGTAGCTCTCCATTGGTAATGTGTGGCCATTGCGAGTATCTTGTGGGGTAATATGAGCGGTATGCCCCCTCAACGTAATGAGGAAATGATGGTTTTTGTAAGGCCCGTAGCTCTACCAGTCTTGAAGGGATTGGATCAGGCGGCTTGCATAGCACCTGGACCCTTGTCTTTGTCAGTTGGCTAAGTAGCTTCTGAAGTAGAGACATGAAGTTGAGAATGCGCATCACCGAAATTTACGCATTAGCTCGCTTCGCCATCCACGTCTGGGGACCAAAGCACCACCAGATCATCTGCTGTTGCAACATTCAAAAGTTTTGGATTAAATGCCACGATTTTAGACACACCATAACCTTGAAGATCTTTGAAGGGTCTGATGACGGGCTCGTTGGACTCCGATGCCTTCACTTTAGAGACGTCGTAAAGAGACACTGGACCCGAGGGAGACCCCGCAAGAACAAACTTGCCACAAGATGTGAATGTAGCCAGGCCCGAAGTTGCGTAGTTGAAACGAAGCCATCCATTCTGTGGCTCGTCGACCGCGCTCAAGCAGGTTAGTAGTCTACCCAGCATAGCATCAAGCACGTAATGCTGAGACGAGTCTGTGCCAACAAGCAAGAGTTTCCCGTTGTTTGAGAACTCGAGTTTGGTCCATTTTTGACCAGGCGTACAGCTGACTTTTGATTTGGCGAAAGAGCCCTTTTCATATGAGGCCGTATCGTAGAAGGCTACGCTGCCATTGCCGGACTCGTCTGGACTACTCGCAATGGCAAACACTATGCCTTGAGGATCATAGGCCACCAAGGCGGCCTGACCAGCGTTGATGTTTCCCAGAGGAGTGGTTAGTCTTAAGTCCCAGTGCTTCACTGTGTGGTCGGCACTAGCAGTAAGGAAGGTCTCAGAAACGGGATTCACCTCTAATGCAGTGACCTGGTCTTTATGGCCTCTAAAGTAGCGTAGGTATGACTTGGTATTGAGCGATAAGTAACGCAAGGAATGGTCTGCGTCTGTTTCTGAGGATGGGGTGGAGGCGTACAAGCAGCAGTGGTCGTGATGGGTGAATCTGGCTAGATGAGCTCCGTATTTCTGGGATTGGATCTTTTTGACTCTCGTACCCTTGTGGCAATCGTAGAGCTGGATCAGACGATCCACTCCAGCTGATATGAGGAATTGGCCAGAGTCATCGAAGTCAAGGCTAGTGACCGAGGCGCCGTCGTGGTGACTAAGATTTTTAGCCGGCTTGAGAGTCAGCAAAACCTTATCGGTGATGGCCACCGTAGTCAGGGCTTTTTTGGACATGTCTGGTTGAAGTTTGTGTGAAAAGATGCGTATATGCGCGTAGCGTGGTTGTGCAGTGGGTAGATATGAAGGTTGACTGAAAAAGGTGATTGGAAGGTTAAAAAAATAACGAGTATCATTTCAGTTGACTAAATTCGAAAGAGTGCTTAGAAGATCAAATGAAAGTCTTGATTGGAGCAGAGAACTTGATGCTTACTTCCTGGGATCTTTGAAGACCATGAGGTGGAGGTCTAGAGGTAAGCTTACTTGCGAATTATGAGAATTCAAAGGGCAATTTGAATTCAAAAAGTCTTGAAGATTCAAGCCTTATTCAATTGCTGACCGAAGCAGCCCAACTTCTAGAAAAGGTAAGTTACTTCGTCATCCGATAGTGGCACTTGGAGAGCTACTAAAACCGTGTTGGAATTTCAAACGATGGTGTTTTGCCATGATGAGGATATTTTGCTACTTTTTGCTATTTTCGCTCAGTTGGGGCTGGGGTAATGTACACATTGTTCAAGCGACAAGAAAATGCGTGGAATATTCGGGTTATCAGGATGGTTGCAAACTGAGAAAGGGAGCCGTGATTCCGGCATCTGCATCAATTAACTTCCTCAAAAACATAAGAATCGCTCAGGTTCTGGTTTATGTTCATTTTCAATATTTTTTGTGTTTGTTTTATTTACCCCGGAATGAAGAAAGCCCCACGGTGTGGAGCAAATCGGGCATCCTTCCAGCCAGTAGTGAGCCCTCGCTTTGCAGCCGAACCGGCCGATCTAAGCCGATGATACGTGAAAACGGTGGAAAAGGACAAATTGAACCTAAATTTTGTCATCTTTTTCAAATCAACAGCTCTATTCACCTCTCCATTTGATTCGACTAGCTTGCTTTTCCGCCAAGATCTCAACCCCGGAAGTGAAACAGCCGGTCTTATCGAAGGTGCCAAACAACGGCATAACACTTCGTAGAAAATTATCTCAATTACTCTCAACGTTCAGCTTAATTCATGATACAAATATCATAAAATGCCTCCGGTAGAGACCTCTTTCGGCATGACTCCACGTGACGGGTTATCTCTCCTCCACATAAGAGATGCCAGATTGGACTTGCTGAGCCTTCCACACATCTACCCCTTAACAACTCTTTACCATCCCACCAAAACCCAATTGACACATCTCCAATGGATAAAGTACCTTTCAAAGTAAAGGCACTCTACGAGTATAAGTCTGAGCATGAGGATGACTTGAATTTCGCTCCCGGTACGGTTATTACCGTGACCGAGGTGGAGGACGACGAATGGTACTCCGGTTATCACGGTGCCGAAAGCGGGATGTTCCCAAAGAACTTTGTTGAGCTTATTAAGGAAGAGCCCGCTACTCCGGCTGTACCAAAGCACCCAGAACCTGCAAAACAGGAACCACCAGTTGCCAAGGAGCCAGAGATCAAGGAACACCAGACAGAGCCAATTGAGAAGAAAGAAGTTCCTAAACCAGCAGTTTTCCCCGGCCCTGGTCTGCAAAGAGATGACCCATACGCTGTGAAGAAACAATTCGCAGGGGCAGGCAAATCGTCCTATGTTCCTCAGGTCAAGCCAAGAGACCAGTCGAACATTGTGGGACACGCTCATCACGACGTGGCTAAGAATGCTGAAGTTGTGAGAGAGCACGACAAACAACCTGAAGAGGAGGAAGCAGACGAGCCCAAGATGAGCTTGAAAGAGCGTATCGCCATGCTACAGAAGAGACAGCAGGAAGAGGCAGAAAGAGAGGCTGCTGCCTTAAAGAGAAAAGAAGAACGCAAGAAGAAAATGGAGGAGGAAAAAGAGCGTGTGAAGCAGCAAAAGGAGGCTCAAGCGCTTTCGGCCACCAGCACTGGTGCCTCGCTAGACCGTCATGCATCCGAGGGAGAGGATGTAGACTCGATAGCCGATAAAAGGTCATTGGCTGAGAGCGTGCCCTCAGTTCCCGGTCATGACGTGGGTCCCAGTATCCAAGAGGAGGATGAAGAGGAGACGCACCATGCTGCAGCTGGAGCTGACGAAGAGGAGGAAGAGGATGAAGACGAGGATGAAGACGAGGAGGAACTCAAAAGACGCCGCTTGGTCGAGAGAATGGCCAAGATCTCCGGTGGTCGTAACATGTTTGGTATGATGGGCATGCCAACGCCGTTTGGTGCTCCAGCCACTTCCAAACCAAAGAAGACTAAGACCAAGTCTGTTGATGAGACTGAGGCCTCGGAGGCTACTGATGTGCCAGCTCCATCCACTGAAGAGCCAGATGTGGAGGAGGAGAAGCCTTCTGTCCCTGCTGTTCCTGCTTCTGCTGTTCCCATTCCAGGTTTGACTCAACCTGGTGTAGCTTCGACGCCGACGGAAGAAAAGCCATTGAATACTGCCACTGCAGCACTCAAAAAGCCGCAACAAGAGGATTCCTCTATTGCTGAGTCCGACTACACTGACGAGCAGAATGTGCCTGTCACCAATGAAAGGAAGAATTTCGAGCAGGTCGAGGAAAGCAAGCCCAAATCACCCACCTTGGAGCTGTCAGAAAGTGAGCCCGAGCAAAATGACAGAGATGAAAGAATTGATCTCGGACCACGCTCAACCTACGAAGGCGAAGTCACCGGCTATGAAGCTGACGAAGACGTTTCTGATCGTGGTGCAGTTCCCAAGGATTTGCTCGAAGGCAACGAGCCTCCACTGCCACTGAAACTTCCAGGTGCACCACCTATTCCAAGTGGATTACCACCTAGCGAGCCACCTGCTGCTGTACCAGAATCGCCAGCTTCGCAACCTCCAACTCCTAGCACAAGGGCTCCACCACCAATTCCTGGCTCTGCCCCACCATCCGAACCAACCACTAGAGCGCCTCCTCCAATTCCTGGTTCAGCTCCTCCAACTGAGCCAACATCAAGAGCTCCACCTCCAATTCCTGGCTCTCTTCCTCCCTCGGAATCAGGATCCAGAGCTCCTCCTCCAGTTCCTACCGGGGCTCACCTGGCACCACCACCAATTCCTCTGGAGCAACCAGCACCACCTTCAACACGCCCCGAGGTGCCATCCTCAGAGCCCCCTGTTCCTGCTCATGCTCCACCAACACCCAGAGATGCACCACCTACCTCCAAGCTTCCTCCTCCCCCTCCTATTCCAACCGAGCAGCCGTTAGGTCAAGATGCCGCACAAGAGTCGTCGGATGATGAAAGCGAATTTAGAGACACTGTTCCGGAACAGTCCAGGGCTCCGGAGAGAGTGCAAACGTTTTCACACACACCCTCTGTCCCACAAGTGCCGATTTCAAGAGCCAACACAACAGATTCTACAAGACGGTCATTTGAATCCCACAAGAGGAAATCGTCTGATTTGTCTCGTCTGAGATCCATAGGAAAGGCTGAGCAGCTCCAGGCCGATACTTACTTGCCAGTTTTGCAAGACGAACTCAATGAGGCTAACGAAAGCTCTGGCTGGTGGATTAAAGATGCTGTACCAGATTCTTTGGAAGCAAATGTTGGCACCGATTTCATTTTTGAGGTTGACCGTCAAAAGCTCACTAAGAGAGGAGGAAGAGAGGTTGTTTTGAAGGATTACTACATCTTGTTCCACGATTTGTCACAAATCGTGTTGGAGCTTCAATACGAATGTGATGATCCAAGAACCACTCTCAGTGTCACGAATGCCTACGTTAAGCCACCGGTTGTGAACAGAAGGGATGTTCTCGACAGATACCACGGTCAATATGGATCGGCAGTCGTGAACGCAGCACAGGGCCTCATCAACTCTCGTGTTAGCAATGGTTTTGCCAACACTGTGTTCCAACAGGTTAACAAGGCAAACAATGGCGCTTTGTTGAGCCCGATTGGCAACAAGTCCTACGGTGTCACTGTCTACAAGAACCAGAACGGCTCGGCGACCAAGTACGACGACATCAAGCCAGGAGATATCTTGTGCATGAAGAATGCTAAGTTCACTGCGCATGGGCTTGGTGGCTTGAGCACAAAGACTGTGACCTACGGTGACGGAAACCAGTTTTTCAATGGTGTCGTTGTTGAAATTGATCATAAGAAAGACAAGCTTCGGGTGCTTGATGCGGACGATTCTGGAGCTGTGAAGAAGGAGTCGTTCAAAATCAATGACTTGAAGTCCGGAAGAGTGCGTGTCTTCCGTTTTGTTGACAGACAGTTTGTCGGATGGTGATGGTGTTGTTAAAGACACTGCAGGCTATGTAACGCACCGAAGAATGCAAGGGCACAGCAAACCTGCAGAATGGCGCGGGTTCGGCAGCGAGTCATCTGGAGAGAAGGCGAGGCTATATAGGACGCGGTGAGTGGCTGGGGCGCAAGGCGTCATGACATGTGATTTGCAAGTTGAAGACATACCCTTGAGTGGTACGACTATCCGATGATCATGCCGAACTGCCTAGACAACACGTACCCCTGCTCGCAGTGTCACTCTACATATGCAACCTGAGTTATCCTAGAGATAAGTTGCCATGAGTGAGTCGAAGAACTTTGAGTCCTGGCTCACCAACAAATATTGAATGTTACAATAATAGAAGGAATTAAAAGATTTGAAAAGCTGAACACGAACGCGAATCACCAAGGTCATCACATCATGATTAAATCAAAATAACCGGTGCCTTGCCAATACACCCGTACACCGGACTGTGGAAATGTTCAGCCGGCATCTGTAGCAACCCAAGATACAGAATACCTTAAGTTCGAGTTTTCTATAACTAGCTCTTTTTTCTGTTGGTACCTCAAGCACAAGTATGTCCCTTCAGAGTCTCGAGCCTGACTTTGCCATTGGCATCCAACGTCACAACTTGCCTGCAAAGGACGAAAAGGCCAGACAAGCAGCCTCCAATGACGATTCCAACTTGCAATTGCTCTTCAACACTTTGGAGAAGTTTGGGTTCAAGGCTCAGGTGCGTACTGGCTCCGACGCTGGCACTCAACTTATTGTTTTTGTCAAGATCGTGTCGAAAGTATACGAAGACCTCGTGAAGAAGGATTTGCTCAGAAACTTCGAGTTTGGCCTTACTGATGACGATGCTGCTTCTTACAACAAGCAGAGACTCATATACGAGTATTTGACGTCTCTGGAAGCTCTTGGCGGCGTGGGAATCACTCCAGGCATCGGTCAATGGAAATTTGTGGAGTCAATTACATCTTTAGAGGGCTACTTAGCTGACACTACTTTGAGTGAACAGGCAAAATCGGAGCTTTTCCAGCCCAGCTTTCTCACTGCAAAGTTCAAAGAGCTTTACGGTCCCGGTGTGGCTTTGTACTTTGACTTTGTGCGTTTCTACACCGTGGCTTTGGCTGGTTTGTCCGTCTTCGGGATTATTGGTTACTTGAAGTCGAAGAACTACTCAATTGCGTTTTCTTTTATTAACTTGATCTGGGGAGCCGGATTGCTCGTTTTGTGGAGAAGAAGAGCCAAGTTCTTGTCGAACACATGGGGTGTTCAAGGCGCTCTTGATTTGGAGAGATTCCGTTCTGAGTTGGCTGGTGCTTCCGGTGATTTGCAAGATACTAAGCATAGATCCGAGACTGACAAGGCCAGATTTGTCAAACAACTTCTATTCGTGCCCGTTGCTCTTGCATTTGGTGCAATCTTGCTCGCTGCCCAAGGTGGTTGCTTCGTTTTGGAAATTTTCATTGCTGAGATTTACGATGGTCCAGGTAAGTTGGTTTTGACATTGACGCCTACCATTCTTTTGAGTGTTTTCGTCCCAGTTTTCACGATTGTCTACTCCCTGGCCACTCAAAAGTTCATCGACTGGGAAAACCACCAGAGCAACCTTACTCGCAGCCAGTCATTTGCTATCAAGTCGTTTTTGTTGAGTATCATGACAGGTTACGTTCCACTTCTCATCAGTGCCTTCATCTATTTGCCATTTGCTCACCTTCTTCAACCCAACTTAATCTACATCAAGAGAGCTATCTCTGGTAGAATCAGATCCGACAGATACGCCTACCTGTACTTGACCAATATCAAGTCTGAGGACAGCTTCCAGATCAACCAGGGCAGATTGGACGGTCAATATTTTTACTTCATTGTCACAAACCAAGTCATTGGCAGTGTCTTGAAATTCGGCTTGCCATTGATCTTGACCCCTGCCATTGAGTTTGTGAAGAAGATCATTGGAGGTAACAAGGGTAAGGTTGAAGCTGAGGAGAACCCAGAAGAGAAACCATATTTGGAGCGTGTTCGTCGTGCAGTTGCACTTCCAGAATACTCCGTTGACGACAGTTTTAGAGACATTGCCTTGCAATTTGGTTATGTCACCATTTTCGGCTCGATCTGGACCTTGGCTCCTCTCGTGTGCATCTTCTTCAATGTGCTTACATTTAAGTTGGAAGAGTGGAGATTGTCGAGTGGAAAGTACTTCAAGCCTGTGGTTGCTAGAAAGATTGACACCATCTACCCATGGAATGTTGCATTCTTCTTCTTGGCTTGGCTTGGATCTATTGTGTCACCACTTGTTGCCTCTTTCTACCGCCACGGTGCCAAACCACCTAAGAACTTTGGCTCATTTGGTTTCGATAAGGCGAGTGTGAATGTTGGATCCACCGTGGGTCTTGTCACCGTTTTGTTGTTCTCTGAACACTTGTTCTTCGTGTTGTACTTTATTGGCGGTAAGTTGAGTGACCTTTTCAAGTCTGAAACCGAGATTGAAAACGACAACTTCCAAAATACCCTCATCTTGAGAAGACAGCAATTTTCCCAACAGAAATTGCCCGAAATTGCCTCCCCTGATGACAGCGCTTGGTCTTCATACGCTCCTAGTGGTGCTCTTCAGCAGGTCAAGTCCCTCCAGTTGCACGAGGTTGAGCCTCAAAATGAAAAGAGCCAGAGCGAAAAGAGCCAGGTTGATGCCCCCACTCAAAGCGAGGACCAAGGTCAAAGCAAGAGTATTGGTGAAACTATCGCTGCTGTTGGTGCTCTGACTGGTATTTCTCGTCTTGTTGCTTCCGACGGTGACTCTTCTGTGACTAACAAGAAGGAGCTTTTGGAGAAGAAGAGATTGGAGTTAGAGAGACTTCAGCAGGAAAAACGCAAAGAGTTAGAGGAACGTGCCGAGAAAGGTGACTCCATCATCGACACCGTGAACACTCGTGGCGAGTCTGCCAACGCTATCATAGACGACAACTCGCACGTGCCAACTTCTGGCGAAGATTACGAGAAGCACATTGACACCGATGCCGCTGCTGCTCGTTCTCAGGAGGCTCAAGGTAAACTGTCTTCTGCCGCTCCTGCCGCTGCAGGTGCTGCTGGAGGTGCTGCTGTTGCTGGAGGTGCTGCGGCTGCTTCTCTGAAGGGTTCTCTGGACAAGCCAAAGAGCAACGAGTCCCTGGGAGGTCTTCCCCTGGTTGTTAATGCTTCCCCCAGCAACGACCCAAAGGCTGCTCTCAATAGGGAACATATCCTGCAAAAGAGTGCCGAAAGACTAGGCGTTGCTGGTAAGGAAGGAACTGTTGCGCCTGTTGCTGAACGTGCCGAAGAGACCAAGCTTCCTGTTGCTACGGTGAAGGACGAAGAGAATGGTGAGGATACAGAGGCTGCGGAAGCTGCTACTGGAGCTGGAGCTGGTGCCGGTGCCGGTGCCGGAACTGGTGCCGCTACTGGCGAGAGCTCTTCTGAGGCTCCTGCCGCTGAAGAAAAGACACCTACTTCGAAACAGACTAACAACACCGAAGGCGAGAAGACTTCAAGCCAGAACACAAGCAGCAAGAAGTCGACCGACACCAGGGCCACCGACAACTCGAGTGTTGACGAAAACGGCAAGAAGTCGTCCAGAAAAAAGAGTTTGAAGAACTTGTTGAAGAGGAAGTAATTGCTGTCCTCACTGCATTCTACTGATTTATATTTTAACCATGTTCTCTTTTCCCAATGCAATACACTTTACTTTATTTTAATGACCGTTTCTCGGAGGCCTTGCTCCAAAAATAGAAGTGCCCACACGGACACTTGAGGATCCTTGCTCGATGGCGGCCTCAAAATCACTGCTCATACCCATACTCAACTGTAAATCGACGGAGTATTTCTCGTCTAATTGTTTTTTCAAATCAGCCAAACGGGCAAAATCCTGATTGATGCCGGCATCAGAGGTCGACTCAGCAAAAGAACCAATGGTCATGATACCCTCCAACTTCAAGGACTCGCTTTGCTTGAGATATTCAACCGTTTCATAGATCTCCTCGAGATTATCTAGACTGTAGCCAGCTTTCTGGCTCTCTGAGGAGGTGTTGATCTGAAGGTAGATATTGATTGGAGGAAGCTTGGCGTTCTGTCTGGCATTGTCAAGTTTCTTGACCTTCTTGAGTGAGTCAAGCGTTTCAACAGCATACAAGTTCTCGATACCTTTGCCCAAATCCTTGCACTTCCCGGACTGTAAGCCTCCGATGAAATGCCAGTTTATGTCTTTTGGAAGCTCATTGGCCTTGCCAATCATTTCTTGAACATAGTTTTCTCCAAAGTGGCGAACACCATGCTCGTATAAAGCCAAGATGTCTGAGGCCGGCTTAAGCTTAGAGACTGCGACTAACCTAACCTGTCTTCCCTTAGCTTTGTTCTGGACTTGTTGCCAGATTTTATCGTAGTTGGATGCTAGTTCAGCTGACCTTTCAGCCAGTGCCTTTTCAACAGTCATGGTCAAAAACCTCCTGATTCCCTGAGTTCTGCAGTGGAAAGAACGCATGCTGCAAAATTCCGTGTAGTGTGATGCCTTGGAACACCACATCCGTACACCGCAGATCGGAGTACATTCCCCGTAGAACGGTAGCACCAATGTCGGAGCTTTCGTTGATTTATTATTCTATCTGATTTTGTACTTTTGGATTGTTACTTCTTTCTCAACAGATTGGCTGAACTTAATTGTGATTAGGAACTGACTTGCAATTTCAGACGTTTTATTGATGTTCGTACCATCGGTTGTTTTTCGCAACCATAATGTAGAGACAGCCAGGCCTCACCAATCCACCTAGCAAATTGAATATAAATTTTGATTTTTCACTTTCAATGTTGATATTAATCGTCGAGATGCTCTTTACTCTGCTCTGTAAAATCATCTAGTCTTCGAAGAGCACTTCGATGAAATGCCCTGGCCAAGCACCGAAGTGTTTCAAGATACTCCAACCAGCGAATTGCAAGATTTTAATAACCACTTAAGATGTTACATATATGTCAGTCAATGAATGCCACCGTTCATTCAACTGAAGAAAAATAAAGAAGAAAGGAAATGGAATAGAATCCATTCATATTGTCTGGTTGCGAAACGCATCGCAAACTCTCCCATTGCCTACTTTCAAAATTACACAGAAATACTTCATCAAATTGCTTCAGGTCAGACAAATACGAGACCAGAAAACATTCCACTTAGAATAAAAATAGACTCGGGCTAAATTGACTAAGTCACCGTCGGAGCCCTAATCGAAGGTACGGGTGTGCTAGTGATGCCGAAAATTTATTGATGGCTCAAGATGCAGTTGACCCTGGACTGGTGGTAATAGATCAATAGGACATATTCAGCACAAACAAAAGACCCCAAATATGTCTGACTCCGTCTACACAGGTGAGGACTTTGACGCCAAAGTCAGAAAGCAAGTGGAATTCTACTTCTCTGACTCAAACCTCCAGACAGACAGATTTCTCTGGAGAATCTACGAGGCTAATGACGGCTGGGTTGAGTTGAAAACCATCTTGACCTTCGGCAGAATGAGACAATACAGACCAGAAGAGCGTGTTATCGCTGCTTTGAAGGAGTCTGATAAGCTTGTTTTGTCTGCCAATGAGGACATGATCAGAAGAAAGGCTCCATTGAAGGACCAAAACGAGTTGAAGAACATCAGAAGAAGAAACTCTGTTCACATTGAGGGCTTCCCTGGCGATGTTTCCCAAGAACAATTGGAGGAGTGGTTCAACGAGAAGATCGTTTCTCAGTTGCCCAAAGAACAGGCTTTTGCCTCTATCCGTAGGATCAGAAACAGAGCTAGAGAATTCTTGGGCGTTGTTGACGTCGAGTTCAAGACTCAGGAGGACCTGGAGCACTTCTTGAAGTTGGACGTGAGCTACCCTCAGGGTGTTGTTGAGGGTGTCGAGGAGAAGGATCTCTTGAAGAAGATGTCCCTCTTGAGATTCAGAGAGATGAAAGAGTCTGGTAAGAGATTCGGTGTCAACGAGGTGACCAAGAGAAGATCCTCATTCAAAGACAGCAACAACAAGAAAGCACGTAAGGAGGAGAAGAAGGGTGACGAGAAAACCGAAACCAACGGCGATAGCACCGCTGTAGAGGAGGCTGTCGAGGACACTGAAGCCAAGGAGACTACAGAGGAGAGCAAGGAACCCTCTAAGGAGGAGGCCTCCGAGAAGGAGACAGAAACGAAAGCCTAAGCTTACATAATGAATGTTTTATGGATGCATGTACCAAAACTTGGGCACCAAATAGAATGCAATAATGGATCATAGAGATGCAATTAGTAGTAGTAGCAGAGTGTGAAGTGGGAGCGCGAAACGCGTCTACTACTAGTATCAACAGATAAATATCGCGACAATATTTCATCGCTACTTCACAAGAATGGCGGACGAAGAGACAAAAAAATGGATTAATTCGCAATTTGGCGCTGTCGATGATGAGACTGTCGATAGGCTTGTCTCGGTCAAAGATATCTTCAATTACTCCAGAGATGACTTGTACATCCAGTGGGAAGCGTTTGTGGTAACGCAAGAGAACGGTGAATTAGATGTAACCGCCGCCAACGTCGATAGATTCCAGGAATGGGCTCAAAAAGGCCTTAACGCTGGTTCAACGAAAAAGACGATTAGTAACAAAAAGAGTTCAGACTCTAAGAGAAGACCCATGATTCGCTCAAATGTTGAATTGTCGTCTAGTCCAGGTGCTGGCTTTGGAATGCCCTCCACTCCGCAATTCAAAAAGCAAAGAACAGAACCTCCAAGTGAGACAACTTTAGCTTCGAGCCCATCGCAGTTCGCCACCGCTAATAACACCATGCTCTCTCTGAGCTCAAGAAAACCAGAGGCGGACCTGCTGTACGAGCCAAACACGGTGTTGGAATGCTTGAACCCAGCAGTTGAGACCACGGAGCTGAATGATCATCCTCCTCGACTCTCGGCCAATTTTGATCCTGAGAAGTTCAAGTTTAGAACGATGGCCATGAAGTTACTAGAAAGTGCTGATGTTTTGGACGATCAGATCGATATGTTCAGCCTGAAATTTTCAACGGAACTCAAGGGTAAAGGTCTTGAACTCGGAAACCCATGTATGAACTCGCAATCTGACATTGCGTGTTGTGGTAGGATTGTGCCAGATTCCCCATACTATGATAGCATGATTACGCAAACTCTTAATGACAAATCTTTATATCTCGAGACGTCTCGTCTTGGTGGTATTGGCCAGAGGGTGCCCCTTGACTTGTCCAACTTGCAAGAATACTCATTCTTCCCGGGCCAAATTGTTGGCTTGAAGGGTAGAAATCCTACCGGAAGAGCTTTCGTGGTGCATGAAGTCTTATCATTGCCAGAGTTGGGGACTCCTGTAACTCACTTGGCAGAGCTTCAAGACATTAAAGAATCTTCAAACGGGGAGAGCCTCAAGGTCGTGATGACCTCAGGCCCTTTCTCAAATCACCACAACCTCAATTTTAGTAAACTTGAGAGCTTTGTGCAACATCTTAACAATGTTGTCAAACCTCATGTTGCTGTGGTGTTCGGTCCTCTTCTTGACATCACGAACGCTGCAGTGGCTTCAGGTGAAGTCGAAGTACCCGGCCTCCCTGCAAATCAACAACCCAGAGATCTTGATGAGCTCCTTCGGGCCACAGTCACACCAATCTTGAAAAAAATTGACAGCAGTATTCAAGTCATCTTGGTTCCATCGTTGCGTGACTCCGCGAGTAAACACACGTCATACCCACAATCTGCATTCGATAGGAAGAAACTTGGACTCCCGAAAAACTTTAAGTGCTTCCCTAATCCTTCCACATTTTCGATCAATGAAGTCGTCATCAGCGCTTCCAATGCGGACGTGTTCAAGGACCTTAAAGATGTCTACAAAAGCAATGTTTCACCAGATAAAAGTCTGTTGTTCTCCAACAGGTTTGAGAGAATCGCTAACCACATCTTCGAGCAAAGAAGATTCTACCCAATGACTCCAGGATCCGTGAAGAGACAAGCACTTTCAAAGGATGATAAAGACAAAATTGTTGGTCTTGCAGATGGAGGTAATGCTGAAGATTTGGCCGAGACGCAAGTTGGTGGCTCGAGTTTGGAAGTTCCATACTTGGGTCTCACAGAGTTGGGGGACTCTTTGCCAGACATCTTGGTGATACCTTCCGAGCTCAAATTTTTTGCCAAAGTAATCAAAGGTGTTGTTGTGATCAACCCTGGCCAGTTTGTCCGTGCTCACAAAGATCCTAGCAAGGAGGATGGAAGTTATGTCGTGATTAGTGTTTCACCACCTGATATTGAGGGCGACGACAATGTTGAGCCAGTTGAAAACTCAAATGGTCTTTACTACAACAACATTTATAAGAGATCGAGAGTTGAGATTTTGAGAAGTTGATATACGGATTGAGCCGAAACGCGACTGCGCGGTATCAAAATGCATAGTTGAGAGTATCTAAGTACATCATCATATTTAATTCACGGAAGAATCCTAGACCCTTAGAGCCATAAGCATTAAATGCACTCTCTGCATTACATAGCATATGATAAGAAGCCGAAGGAGTTTCTTTGGACATTTTAACTTAAGGTACTCTCTGAACAGACTTTGGTGTCAGCGAACTATGATATCTACCACTGAAACACCATCCACCGAGAACCCGATCAAATTACGTGACTACCAGATTGATGCCGTGAAGAGTACATTGGATGCCATCAAGCGTGGTGTCAATAGACCAGCGGTGGTATTAGCCACTGGAGGGGGTAAGACTGTGGTGATGTCCGACCTTATACCACGACTCACAAGCAAGAACAAAGGTGACAAAGTGCTTGTTTTGGCTCACAAGCAGGAACTCGTTCGGCAAGCAGCTACCACGATTCAGAAAATGAATCCTGATTTGGGAGTCTGTATAGATATGGCAAAGTCCAAGCCGGATCTAGAGAGCGTCGATGTCGTCGTAGCATCTGTGCCCACATTGGTCTACAAAACCAGATTAGAAAGATACAAGCCGGAAGACTTCAAGGCTATAATTTTAGATGAGTGCCACCATGCCACTGCAAATTCGTGGACGAAGATTCTCAACTACTTTGGTGCATTGGAGGAAAAGCCCAAGGTATATACCGTTGGTTTTACTGCCACACTTGAGAGGACCGATGGCATGAGCTTGGGCAAAGTTTTCGAGGAGATGGTTTTTGAAAGAAATCTTATAACCATGATCAGGGCAAAAGAGCTATGCGACGTCAGATTATCCAAGATTGACGTTTCGGTTAATTTGAGCAAAGTGCGGTCTACTGGAGGCGACTTTGTTCAAAAAGAGCTTTCAGAAGCTGTCAACAAAGATGACATTAACGTCATGGTTACCCGGGGATTCACGCAACTCAAGAAGAAGTACAACTATAAATCCACCTTGATCTTTTGCGTGGACATTGAGCATTGCAAAACCCTATGCGGGGTTCTCCAGAAGAATGATATCAAGGCTCAGTATGTAACAGGTGAGACGGTGCATCACGAAAGAAGGGCAATCTTGGACGATTTCCGCGCTGGTAAGATTGAAGTTCTCTGCAATGTTCTTGTGTTTACTGAAGGAACTGACATTCCAAATATCGATTCCCTTGTTTTAGCACGCCCGACAAAGTCGAGAAATTTGTTGATTCAAATGATTGGACGAGGGTTGAGGCTTCACCACGGGAAAGACGTCTGCGACGTAATTGACATGGTGGATGCTACAAAGCATGGCTTCCGAAGCATCCCTACTCTACTTGGAATGGAGGCTGAGATGAGAGCGGCAGGTAAGTCAGAACTGCAGATCGATGTCAGCTTGGAGAAACTATTGGAAGATACCATTTTGCATAATCCTCGAGAAAAGGCCCGATTGAAAAAGGTGGACCTTATCGTTGACTTGCAGAAGCAACTCAGTAACTTGCAATTGAGTTTTCAGACGATAGAAGGGTTTGCAGACGTCGAAAAGAGAGGTGTTCTGGAAGAGATCGACGAGGACATAATCCGCATCATCAGGGAAAGCAAACTTCCTTGGGCAAGATTCTCATATTATAAATGGGGCACTTGTGTTGCTAACAGGAACTTTATGTTGGAACGTTGTCCCGACGAATATCAATTTTATGAGGTGAGTTATGCGTCCGTGAGCGAAATATTTGCCAGTGGTTTCAAGGTCAATCGGTTACACGTAAATCTTATTCGCAAATCAGAAAACATTCAAGATGTGGTACTAGACGCAGAGAACCTGCTTTACGGCAAGCTCGTTGCACTGGAGCATATGAAAAGACCAGCTACGGATAAACAAATCTCATTCATAGTCAAGAAGCTCGGAAAGAAAGTGGAGCTGGAATATGGAGCGAGCTCAATGGAATTCGCCGAGAAACTCAAACCATGGCGGATGATCCGTGCTGCGAATCTCTGTTTTGCTGCAAAGGTGTCTATCAATTGTACATGGGTCAAATGGGAGCTTGCGAATCTCTATGGCTACAGCCAGTATACCCATATCAGGATGAAGAGGAAATTGACTAAGGTTGGTAAAAAGCTAGCATCCGACGATTATCTACCTGAGGGCCCCAAAGTGCAAGATGCTCCAATTGTTGAAAAGTCCTCACCACCCGCCTCTAGAAGATCTTCATCCCCTTCGACGGAATCTGCCTCAGGCTAAAGTCCAAATTGAAATCTAGTCCCCAGTCAGAGCGCACTGCACCGGCGCGCTGGCAGTGCAGCATATAGCCTACACATATATTACTAACCACAAACACTCCAGTTGTATATCTTATTTTTATGAAAATCTTTCAGCTCTGTTGGACAGTGCTTTCGGTTTTTCCGCTCCTAGCACTAGCGGATACCGCCAACCAGCCTCGTGTGGTTGATACCGATGATGCAGCCAAAATCATTCAGACCAGCACGTCAAGTCATACCAATAACTGGGCAGTCCTTGTGTCCACGTCAAGATTTTGGTTCAACTATAGACACATGGCTAATACTTTGAGCTTGTACAGAACAGTTAAGAGGATGGGAATACCGGACTCTCAAATCATTCTTATGTTGGCTGACGACATCGCATGTAATCCAAGAAATGCCTTCCCCGGAACGGTGTTTAACAATATGGACCAAGCCATCGACCTTTACGGTGATGATATCGAGGTCGACTATAGAGGTTACGAGGTAACCGTGGAGAATTTCATCAGGTTGCTCACGGATAGATGGGATGAGAATCACCCAAGGAGCAAAAGACTTCTCACTGACGAGAACTCGAACATATTTGTTTATCTCACGGGCCATGGCGGAAATGAGTTTTTGAAATTCCAAGATGCTGAGGAGATCGGCTCTTGGGATCTTGCGCATGCTTTCCAGCAAATGCATTCGAAGAAGAGGTACAACGAGATCTTCTTCATGATTGACACGTGCCAGGCCAACACTATGTATGAGAGAATTTATTCTCCTGACATATTGTGTGTTGGTTCATCACGCCTAGATGAGTCGTCTTACTCGCATCATTCTGACTTAGATGTCGGGGTGGCTGTTATCGACAGATTCACATATTACACTCTTGACTTCTTGGAGAAAGTTGAGAAGAACTCCAACGTCACCATGGATAAGCTTTTCGCTGAGTACACGTACGAGAACGTCCATTCAAACCCAGGCATCAGGACAGACTTGTTCAACCGAGACGTGAACGAGGTTCTTTTAACGGACTTTTTCGGCAATGTCCAAGAAGTTGTATTAGATGAGGTGGAACAGGGTGTACTTGAGACTATTAGCAGTGTTCCAATGACGCAAAAGTCGTCGAAAAACACCACTCACTACGAGGCCTTGAGCGCATCTTTCAGCGACTCAGGTTACAAAACGAAACAATTGCATCATGTGACCAAGAAGGAGGCCAAGATCATCACAGCTGTGCTGGCTGTCGCTTTGGGTCTCCTTTGGACATTTGCCAAACCTTAATGTATAGAATGCCAATCTTCCTACACTCACGTTGCACACTCGAAACAGTAACGGACTTTGTAAGTCGCACCCCATACACCCTTGTTGATAGTCGCGCCATTACTACGCACTCTTTGTTTTTATTAGTACTCACAACCCAAACTTGAGAGTTAAAGAGAATGGCATTTTCTGGCTCGGTTCTCTTCAATTTGGTAGTTTCCAATGAGCCTAATTCTCGAAAGCTAGAAGCAGTGCTGAATTTAAAAACCCATGTCAAGAAGGAAAACGTGGATCTCACACAAGTCCAGGCTTATTTTGAAGCCATATCGGTTTTGATGGATCTGACCGACCAGAACCTACAAAATACAACATTCAGTTTGCTTTGCCATTTGGTGAAGCGTGTCAGCATTCAGGATTCCAAAACCACTCTACTCCATGACCATTCTTTTTTAGTGCTTCACATAATTGTTACCAGAATAGCAGATCCAAGAGCATCCATCAAGATATCAGCTAAAAGAGCATTGGAAGCATACTGGCTTACAGCACCTACGAAAGTCGAACAGGCATTGGTGGAGCTGGGGCTCAGAAATCGATCTCCGTTAATCATAAACGAATGTGTTGTATGGCTCAACACCATTCTTACAGAGGTGAACCGTCACTTCAGTCTAAATCCATTCATGAACGCCCTTGCCGAGATACTCGTCCAGTATGAAAACAACAACTTGTTGGTGGAAAACATAAAGATCTTGTTTGCCAACTATTATGACCTCAAGCAAAACAGACTCCATAAGTTTGAACTTCAGAAGATACTAGAGCTGCATAAGGTTTCCACCTCCCTAAGAACGTCAATTATGGGTACAGACCATGTAATGAAGTCACGAGATAAGCCGGAGCATGTGGATCATGCACCTAAACTACCTATCCCTAGCATAAAGCCACCCAGGCCAGCATCTACGCTTGTATCACGAACCAAGGAGGAACCTAAAGCAGAGAGGCACGAAAAGGAGGAGGAGCAAACCTCTTCCTCGTCACCTGTTGATGACATTGTGTTTGGCCTTCAAAATTATAGAATTGATACGAAAGTGCTGCCCACGAGATGCAAAGACGCGGACACTCTTCATAGCAGTGTATCCAGCATGATATCTACGTTTGACGGAAAGGAGACTGAAAGAAACTGGACCCTGAGGGAAACTCATATCGGTACCCTAAGGTCACTTGTACGAGGAAATGCTCACTCGGAGTTCCCCGAGGATCTCGTTCTCGCTTTGAAGGATATCTCGGAGGGCATTTGTAAGGGACTCTTGTCCCTTCGTACGACCTTGAGCGTGAGTGCATGTTCCTTGGTGAAGGAGGCAGCGATTCTTCTAGGAGATAAGTTTGACTCGCTCATTGATCATTTCACTCCAACACTCATAAAGCTCAATGCCTCTACCAAGCTGATGACTTCCAGTAATGCTCATGTTGCCATGTGTGCAATTATGGCCAATTGCTCATATGGTGGAAAGCTACTTCACAAGATTCAGACTGCTTCATCGGAGAAGGGCAGCAATACCAGAACACACTGTGGTACTTGGCTCAAAATATTCGTTGTTCGTTCTAGCTCTCATGGCTCCCTCCCTCACACTGAGATTATCGAACGTGTGCTTAGTCGTCTTTTATCTGATCCGATCTCCCCAGTTCGCCAGTCAGCCAAGGAAGCATTTTGGTCACTCCAAGCTATTTCCAAAGAATCTGCTGAAAGGCTTCTAACTCGTCTTGATGCAAATGTCGTGAAGGGCTTGGAGCGTTCGAAACCCGCGAAGATTGGGAAGTTAAGACCAGAATTAACACAACCAAAATCATCCCGACCCTCGATAAAGGACTCAATTATCGCAAAGAACAAGGAGCTTCTGGCTAAGCGTGCTGACTCGAGACTGAGCTCCAGAAACTCGTCTCAGCGTTCAGAAAGCGGCATCGAATTTGGCGTAAGAAAGGGACTGAGTAGGCAGATGTCAGACCCGCCAACTAGACGCCACGCCTCTAGTCTACCCAAAAAGGACAACACCCCTCATGAGCCATTGCTGAAGCAACGCAGCTTTCACAATTTGCATAAATATAGCAAGGACTCTGAAAAGAAGCCCGCTTTGCGATCAGTCGCTTCTACGACTTTCTCATCGTCAAATGTTCAGGGTAGAAGTACGCCTCCTTTACGGGTCATGACAACGGCAGATCCCATCTTTCAATTTTTATCATCTTCGAATGAAGTTACTATCAAAGAGGGTATCAATTTATTGAAATATGCCATGATTGTTGAGGAAATGTTCCCAGATGAGATTAAATTTTATTTGAGAAAGGTCTCTTATACCCACCCTGAATGCTTCCGCCCGCTTCTTGAAAGTCAGCCCGAAATCTTTAGCAAAACTTGGACACTCATGACTCAGGAGGACATCTTGCGCGTCTGTTCCATCATCTTACCTGCTTCGAATGAGGTCGTTGATCGTATGATTGCTTTATCAGACCGTGAAGTTTACCAATCAGTGGGCACAATTTTCACATATATCGCAGATTTCGACCACATAGCTGGGGAGAAGCATTTGGCAATTCAAGTGATAAAACACAAGAGCAAGATCCTTGAACTGTTAGCCAAGTTTACTCTTGAGTGCATCACTAAGATTCCGGTGAGTGACGATAACTTTGAACTACTTGCTAAGCCTTTGTTTGATCTCGTTGCTATATTTCATTCGATGCCTGGGTATGATATCTACAAATCTTTGGTGTTATCTTTGTATCACACCAATGAGATGTTGTTTAGAAAGCTCTCTTCTCAGCTCTCGAGTAATTGCAAGAGAGAGATCGAGAGTATTGCAGGTATAGAGGAGAGAACATCAAGTATCGTCGAGACTTCACCAAGAAGTTTGGAGGAGAACGCAGCAGAATCTGTTGAGGAGAATGAACCAGAGACTATGGAGAATAGGACACCGGAACTTGCACAATATTCCCATCTGCAAGTTGAACACCTGATCCTGTTAAATGTAAGTGTCACTGAGCTGACTTCAAATGAGAACCTAGTCACAGAAACAAACAAGATGGAGTCCGAAGTATCAGTCGAGCATGATCGCCAGGTTTCTGCAGAGTCATCTGTCGAGGAAGCAGAACCTGTGAGCAAAAGTGTCAGCGATGAGGACATGGAGCAAGACAATGAACCAATAACGGAACTAGAGAAGAAAGCCAACAGTGTTTGCAATGAGACTCTGCCGACTCACTCGAGATTGACTGGTTCTGATCATGTCGTGGGGGAGGAATCGCCACGTCAAGGCGAGGATGCTGAACCCACGCGGGCAGAGAAGGTAAGTGATGAGATGATGGATTGTGAAGACAAGGAGAAGAGTCCTACTAGTAACGACGATGCTGTTGCAAGTGCTATCGGAAGTGAGGACAGTGAAGGCCCAAGCTCTCCTAAGCCCAAGCAGATCGTGGAGAATATCAAACAGATGGAGTTCCCTTCACCAATACCTGCTGATCGCTTTGCAAGCAGGGCTCAATCATTTTCTCCCAAGAAATCTGCTAACCCAAACATCTTTGCATCTGGTCTGGTAACACCCATGAGAAATGAGTTTTATAATCGGCTAAACCCAGATCCACTGAGCGATCTTGTTGAGAACTTTGCGCAAGTGAAAATAACTAATCGGTTGAATTCAATTCAATCTTTCATCGATAAGGTTGATCCCTTAAGCAAAGTCTCATGCAAAGCGAGGCCAATTTCAATCTTTGAGGACACAAAAGTGAGCGGATCGCCTCAAAAAGTGAAGGAATATAACTACACTGAACTCAATTGGTTTAACTTTCTGGTGGCGCGTCTTGCTCTCGACAAAGAAGCTAAGGAGTTTGATGACTACACAATCGCTGAGTTCGACCAATTGTGCGAGGACCTCAGAGGTGAATTGAGTGGAAAAAAATTTGTCAGTTTGTTGAGATACTTGCAGAATGAACAATCATCAGACTTCGACAAATATTTCGTGCAAGAAGGATTGAGCAGGATCGAAGACTCACTCCATCAGCATTTGACTTCCACTGTAATCCGCGACAAGCTCAGTGGTTTGATAATTTTGAAACAGCTTCTCATCAACAGAGAAAATATTAACTTCCTGAGGGTTTGGAAAACTCTTGTTCTACTTAGCGAAGATGCAGCCCATGAGATCGAAGTCGCTATCAACGAGGCGTTTGATGAAGCACTCTGCGGTATATTCTCAAGTGCTGACATGACACAGACAATAGTTAAGACGATTTGTGAGCAGTCCAGTGATTGGACCGAAAGTACGCTCACTTACGTACTCCGTTGTTTGTTCAAGCTCGTCGCGCAGAAGACAATGGTATTGTCAATAACCGACGATCTCTTGCGTCAACTTCACGGAATTCTCAAATCTTACATCAGCCACAAGAAGGTGGAGATTCGAAAAAATGTGGTGCAGACATATGGAAAGCTACTTCGTGCTGCCCGAGTAAGCGAGCTTACAGACAGCAACATCACCCTGTCCAATGTCAATAAGGAATCCAGGTTCGTTGACGAGATTTTAGATAGCATGACGGGACCTCAGCGGAAGATGGTGGAATACTACAGTCACTGATGGGATAATTTTTGATAGTTACTAATGACAAGGCCGGACCAGCCGAAGTAATATACAAGTAGTAAAACACTTTTCTCGTAGCTTCATACTCTTCCCGCACTCTCGGGTCTTGGAGGATGAAGCGTGTCATCTGTTTGGACATTTGCACTAGATTCAGGAGTAGGCATCAAGGTCTCAGTGGAATCCAGCAGCGACAGATCACGCTTTGCACGGGCGTAGATTCTGTTCTCGTATTCTGTCGAAGGTTTCCGAGAACGAGGCTTGGTTACCTTGTTAGGCTGTAGTTGTTGGCGTTTCCTCATCATGTTGAAACTGACTTCTCTTTGCCGTAGCGAAGGCTGAGTGTTGTACAACAGAAGATCGTGACCACCGTAAAAGGCACCTCTGTATGGACTCATCTCTTCGTAAACCACAGGACCGATGGATCCCATTTGAGTCATTGGGTGACCATACATCTCTTCCTGGTAGAAAGATGGCATTTGTTCATGCACCATGCCGTAGCCTGGATCATAGAACTGACTCATCACGGCGGATGTGGGGATGGGGTAAGGCATCATCGTTTGAGCAGAATACTGAGGAACGGCTGCAGATGAGATGTTGGTGGGGTACTGAGCGTGGATTTGAGCAGGGGACAGTGACATGAACGAAGTCTCCTCGTTAGCAGAACGAGGGAACATCAGCTTTGGTTCGGCATGAAGGGATCTTGCTGGCTGTGTCTGTTCGATCAAGTAGTCATCGGTTGAGGCAATGTTAGTGGTAACAGGTTGCCTTTGAATGAAGCTAGCATCAATGCTGTCAAAGTCGTTGTCAAGAGCGTTGATGTAGGCACCCGAATGGTAAGCACCATCCAAAGTGATGTAATCACCAGGAGCAGTGTGGGGTTCTTGGATGTAGTCGAGGGGGAAATCATCATCCTCTTCGTCGTCGTCATTCTCGTCGGCGACCTCGTCTTCATAACCCGGAACCCTCAGATGACAGACATACTCGGGCGATTCAGCAGGATCTCCCTTGATGGGCACGTTTATGGATTGGCTTGTCATATCCAAATGAGCGGTGAGCTGCTCGTATAGCGATGAATTGGTATCCTCTTCGTAGTTGAAAGACAAGGCTGGCTCTTTGGACGCCACTGATGTTGGAGTCTGACCGAGCTTCTCACGCTTGAGATCCCGATCCAATGCGTCAGCCATGAGCTTATCGTGAGGTACATTAAACCAGTAGAAGACCTTTTGTTTCTTTTGCGTTCGAAGACAAGAGTTCTTGAACAAGAAGTCCAAGAACTCCGACTTTGGCTCCTCGAGAACGGCATCGGTACCTGCTTTTAAATTTCTCAAATCGGAGAAGATACCTTCTTCGAACTTTTTGCGATCAGTGATGGTCCGGCCAAACTGTTGAAACTTATACAAGATGCAACGAACAATGTCGGTGCCTGTGATGAAGTATAGGTTGTTCCAGAAGACACAGGAGACGAAACCTTCGTCGTTGTTCAAGTAGTAACGCCTGATGACCTGGTTTTCTTGCCAGTTGGCAGGAGCGGTGACTAGGAAGAACTTCAAGTCTTCAATGAGTCTCAAGGACTCTGTGACGTCGTCTGAGACAGATGTTGAGGGACCCTTCAGCATGGTGAGGAAGATCGAGGGACGACAGATGGACTGAGAGGCAATGAACGGCGGATCGAGTTCAGAGCCTTTTGCAAACGAAGGAATGTCCTGGAAGAAAGAAAGCGGTGTGGGTGAAGGTAGACCGAACAAGACGATCTATATAAAAAGTGCCCTTGGACCAAGCGTGTTTCAGATCCTGCCGAGCTGAAACAAGGCCAGTGCGAATTCTAGACCGGACACTCAAACGCAGCCAAACGCCAAACACCGGCAGATAGCTGGGGGAACAGTGGAGTTTGTCTTGGAATATAAGGCAGCCAAGGGTAGCAGTGGGTGGGGGTGTGGTACACTGCTGCCTCGACGAGAAAAAGCTGGTGGGATCTTGGAAGTTGCTCTTCTAGGAGGGATGGGCGAGCGGTGGTTCAAAAGTGCTGCGGCTTAGGCGGTAAAAAATATCAATGTTTCAAGTTTGTGACCAGCACGGCAGCACAATATAATGCCTGTTTGAGAAAAGTGATTATTTTTTAAAACCTGGAACGGCTTCAGTTTCAGAAAATCATCGCCCTTCTTATATCACTTGCGTCCGGTGGCCACCGACAAGGCAAATGTGCCCTCCTCGGCAAACACCGCACGCGGCTGGGAGTGTTCGCTTTAACGAGAACGATCTCGGGCTGGGATCTGCACCCGCGGAGCCGGCGAAGCAGGAACGATCTTGCGGGAATCTTGTAAACACGGCAATTGGCGATTTTGGTCAATATAGCATTTACGCCGCTTTTGACGTAAAACTGCTTTTTCGGTGCCAGGTCTAATTGCGTGCGTCACCGCTCCGAAAAGTGCCCCTACTTTCGACACCAGGGGTGCGTCGCGTTCGCAGCCATTCCATCGCAGACACTCCCAGACATCCTTTGGGTGCAATTGTTCAAACACAAAAGCGTTAAACTTTATCACCATTTCGCTTCCTCTTTCCGCTTCGTAAGTGCCTCCTAGCTTGTCCTTCTAAGCTTCTCGCCTATGCTTAAGGTTTTCTAGAAAACTGGCCGGCCCCCGCCGAGGAGCCACATTCTCTGCTATTGTTAGCAGCTCAGCGCTCGGTGTTGGCTGCCGTCGCTGGCCGTCTCTCATTCTCGAGGCTATCATCACCAATCCTGGTGCGAAAAGCATAGCAAGTGAGCAAAAGTCAGCCGTTGGGTTTCGGCCGTTTTGGCCGTTGCTGCTCACAAATCTTCAAAACGCCTTAGATAAATTCGCCGCTTCTCTAACCCCTCCGCCCGTCGCTTCGTGAAAAATTCATTTCTTGGTGCCAATACTAGCACCCACTGGGGCCAACTGCCAAGGTCCCTGATTATGCCATTGTCCAAAAACAACTAAGCGCCGGCCCCTCTTCTGGTGGTTCGGGGAGATCCCCGGCTCCCATCAGCAGGGTTCGGTTTCCATCGATCCAGATCGACACCGTACTCGGTGCCAACCGCGAGAAGATCGGCACCAGGGTCTGTCAAGCGTAACCTCCTCCCAAAAGGGCTGTGCGCTCAGATAGACAGGACGGCTAAGTCCCCGGGGAGCCCGCGTATCTGTGATTCTCTACATTAGTGCCCGATCGTCATTCCACAGCATGCCACTGAAGCTTTGCGAATCGGGGCTTGGTTTTCCAAGTCCTTTTGGAGAAGCTAGAGAAGCGCTGGAGGCAAGAACAGAAGATCTGGCAGGGACAAAGAGCCCGGGCTATTGTGAAGTGACTTCCTTTTTTTTTTTCATTCTTCCTCTCAAGCAACCACTGCCTGTGCTTGACGCAGGGATTAGACATCTCAGGGCTCTCCACACCCTGACCAGGGCTCCATGGCCCTTCATTTTTAGCAATGCATCCATATGTAGAGTCGCTTCAGGAGACTGATCCTATACTTGGTGAGAAGTTCCGCCTCCAAGCCTTTCTCATAGCCTCGTAACCGGGCAACGCAGCTGTAGGCTATTCTGGTCGAGGGGAGGTGCATGATCAGAGGTGTGTGACCGTAAGCTACTTTTGGTTTTGGGAGCCTCAGGGTCTTTTGCTGTTGAGGTATTGGTGGGTCTCACGGTAGGGTCAGTAGGTGTTTGGGCATACTTGTGTATCAGTTGCAAGACTTTGAACGTCATCTTTCCCAGCCCTATTCAGGCTTCAGAAGAGAGTACCTGAACCCCTGAAATTAAAGCAAGTAGTAGATCTTGTGGTTGATCAAGCCTAGTTAGGCAGGCGTCCAACTGTCGTTCTATCGGCTTGCGCCTGGTTCTTTGCAGAGAAGGTCAATCGAAGAGGGGGCTGTAGTGAAAATATTAGTCAGTATCCTTGCAATTAGTAAGCTTGATGCTATTTTGAGAGTTTGAGACAGAGAGACCGTGTTTTCAGACCAAACAAGGGCCAAAACTTGGGCACATCCCATTTGAGCAGCCCACGGGTGTCACAGGCCGCTGAGAGCTTGTCTAATGGATTTGAGAGTCAAATCTGAGTGTAAATATATAAATACGTTCAAAAACGTCATTGTATATGGTCGATTTTAGCATGGAGTGAGCAGCGTCACTGCTTCACTTATATATGCAGCACTTTTCGTAATATATCAAGTGGCTCTGTGGCCGAGCGGTCTAAGGCGGCAGACTCAAGTTCTGTTATCGTAAGATGCGCGTGTTCGAATCACGCCGGAGTCATTATTTTTTGCAAATGATCCCTCGCTACGAAGAGTAGTATTTGATTGAACTTTTATATTTTTTTCTTGCAAATGATGTTTCGTGTTGAACCTGCTATGGTGGTGTGAACGGAGATACAAGGTAGGATATAGTACATATATGAGGCCGTCCCTCTACTAATTGGCTGCAAAGCCAACACTTTCCTTCTGCTTCTTCGACGAACTAAAGTGTTCCTCGTTCTGGTTTCATCTTGTGGCTCTTGGGGCAAAATGAGCATTGGCGGCTCTGCTGGTAGATAACAGATTAGTTAGTATGGCCAATCTCGAGGAGACCAACTCTAGACCATCATCATCGTTTTTCGGTGCCGACAATAGCTTGTTTGCTAGATAGACTAAATCTCTCTCTGCACTATCGCTCAAATTTTCCGTCTCAAGTAACCTTTGTACTCTGCGTTCTAGTTGCTCCAACGAGTAAACTGCAGCCTCCTCTGACACTTCTGTCAATTCCGGCTCATCTTTGGTATAATTTGCATGTGAATGGATCGTGTTTGTTGCAATGGCTTCTGTGCTTTCAGCAATTATTGTAAGAGGAACAGCTGAGTGATTCAACGAAGAGTAGCACTTGAGATCTTTGCCCTGAAGCTGCACATATATGGGCGGTAGTCTATCGCCATGTTTTCTGAAGTCATCAATTGCCGCTTGAGGAGCTTCTTGGTCTGTCAGGAATAGCCCCACCAATGATGCTTGTGGTGAAACGACCAGAAGTAACCTGAGCCGTTTATTCAAATTGTCATAGTCGATCTTGTGTCCCAGCCACTTCAACTCAAACGCATCTGCCACCACAATGGAGCTTTCTCTCTCCTCTCCAACCAATACACCAACCAGAGTATTCCTTGACGTCTGGTCCAGTATGGCGTACAATGCTGTCGCTTTTAGTTGGACCAACATGAATAGATGAACAATCCGGTAACGATTATTTCTGAGCAATGATTTCAATAATGTTACACTCACTTAATACCAAATTCAAGCCTTCTTCTTCACTATAATTGAGTTCACAACTGGATGCCCCTTTTTTGCGGAGTATCGTCTATCGCGGTATCGGTGTCTTACAAGATCGCATAACCAGCCTCAGCAGCTAGTGCGACATTAATAGACCCCTCACTACTTAAGCTCACATTATACATTGTTCTTTCAAGAATTTTGCTAAATAACCAAGGAATTCCGACACTGTAGCAACCGTGCAAGCATATATCAAATCTCCAGAAAAAAATCAAACCGCTTAGAGCTACATTTTTCAGACCTGTGGATTGTGGCACCGATGGGTGTGCATACAAGCACATTTAGTCCCCTAGAAAAAAAAAAGTTATCCTCTTCTCATCCCTACAACCATGATCATGTCTGTTCACGAGCCTCTAAGTAGGAAACGTGCCCTAGGCTCTGATAGTGTGCTGGAGGTTAAAAGGCACTGTCCGGACATAGATCACCCGGAGGCCTTCTCCGATACAATGTACCTGGTGCTTGTGAAGAGTGCCCTTGAGAATTTAGAAAAGGTATGTCAAAGCTTTCCATCGTTCAAATTCATGACTAACAGCAGAATGATACAATGCAAATCAAAACACTCACTGCCAAGATCAACTTGCCCCTTTCTCATAAGGACGCCATGAGCTTGTCCAACCTTAATATAGTCTTGAAAAGCCTCACAGTAAACATCGCCAAGCTAGATAAATCAGCCTGTGCGCCACTAATAGCCGCCATCTTACGCTATCCTTGGTTGGAGGTCCGCATCCCGGAGGCCACCCAGGGCAAGCTTGCATTCCACTCATTTGTGGACATTTACTCGCAGTTCCTCACTGTGCTCATCTCCTCATTTCCCAAATACCTAAACGAGGTTGTCACAAAGCTCATAAACGAGTTCCCCGACTTGAGCTCCGAAACATATCCACACCACAAAGTGCTCAAGCGCTTCATTTCATACTTTCCCACTTGCATCAATACTATACCCAAGGCCTTGAGTGCCACCGCCCCACATCATACCTCATCCACCACCACCGAGATTTACAACTACGTGAGGAACGCAGTTACCGTGATTTCGTACTGCCTGGACTTGCAGTACTCGATCTGGCAGCTGGTGATTGAGCTTTGCATTAAAATGGATGTTGACCTCCAGAATGAGCTTGACGATCTAGACGACGATAGCATTGAGGAACTCATCAACGGCGAGGATGAGAATGATGAGGTTCTCGAAGTTGAGGACGACGACGCTGATGAGAATGGAGTCGAGGTTTACGATGTTGCATCCACTACAAACATCAAGCAGTTGGTTTCTAAGCTCGACAAAGTTATGGAGCTCCTTCTTACGACTACTGAGCCTTC